AATTTTGCATGTATGGGACGACCACCTTCCATCCAATATTTCTGAGAATATAAACAAATTTTGGAATCTGAGAGTATCAGTAAATAAATATATAGAATATCGCCTCTCAAACGACCACTTCTGAAAGTGACCAATAGTTCTGAGATTATAAATAAATATTGATATTAAGCATTATTTCTATAAGACGACCATCTCTATATAAGACCAAAGTTTCTAGAATCTTGGATAGTCATCAGAGATGTATCTTTACTGCGAAATTATCGCACGACTGTAATTCAATATCAATAACAGATCGCGCGATTGAAAAACATTTTCTGTCCTGTAATTAGAGGGAAAAAATTTTTTCCTTATGAGGTATTTCTCCCGCTTTCCTAGCGTGCCTTCGTGGTGTAATAGTTCTGCACGCTGGGCCGGTGTTTCAGAGGTCCGTGGTTCAATTCACGGCGAAGGCGGTTGCTAATTTTTCATCTCTACGGCTTCCCAAAAAATCCTAATGTCTCTACAGTGGCGCCCGAACTAAAAAGGTGTTGGATGAAGTATATCCACACCCAGGATTTAGTGATTGGATCCCCTTAAAAAAAAGTCGGCCTTTAAAAAGAGAAGTAATATAAGGTATTTCTTCCACTTTCCTAGCGTGTCTTCGGCCCACCAGCGGCCGAGCGGTAAAGTCGCTGAACCCTGGTTGTGCGATCCGAGGTTCGAATCCGCGAACGGGCTGGCTTGCATGGGTGTTTTCGTGGTTTCCCCATGTGTAACGTGTATACGAGCCAGTTTCCCTTAGAAAGTCCTCCACGAAGGTCATCCCTCCCCTTAGGCAGATAGCCCTAGTGTGCTTTGCCATAATTAAATACACCACCACCACACCTAGCGTGTCTTCGTGGTGTAGTGGTTTTGCACACTGGGCCGATATTCCAGAGGTCCGTCCTTCGATTCCCGGCGAAGGCAGTTGCTAATTTTTCATGTTTCCTGCTTCCAAAAAAATACCTAATGTCTCTATACCCAAATTTAAAAAAAATTCTTTTCCGTAATTAAATATATATATATATCTAATTTTAGCTATATTTGTAGTAGGGTTTGTAATCTGTAAGTAATTATACATGTAATTTATTCATTTTTTATAAAAAAAATATATGTTATTTAGAATTTTGCAATATTCTAGAAAATGCTAATCCATTGAAAAAAATCTTTTCCATGACTAAAATAAATTTTTAAAAACGTCAGAAAAATAGCAGTTAAAATTAATAACAAAATAACAAGAATAAATCATCAATCATATCAATATTTTAATGTACAGCATTTAGAAACAACTTAGTAAAATACATATGAAAATAAAATAATGTGCAAGTTTCAGATGTGCAATGTCAAAAAATTAAAACTGGTAAATTTGAGAACAAATATCCTCAAAATATTTGACAACGAAAGTCCTCCGGACAATGCAGAATGAATGTCCTCAGGATGTGAAATTGGTGAACTCCTCAGGACATCTGAGAATCAACATCTTCAGGACATCCTGTCATATCCCGGGACATAGCGACTTAAATAAGACATCCTCAGGATGTTAAATTATGATCTCCTCAGGACATCTGAGAATCAACATCCTTAGGACATCCTAAGTATATCCCGGGATATTACGACTTAAATAGGACATCCTGAGGATGTTTTGTGCTATGGGGGCATGTAATAAAATTCTTTTGAACGTGTTTTACAAAGATTTTAAATGAAAGCTTGTAATGTATGTTTATATTAACCAATTAAATAGTACTAGGTTTTATTATATATATGTAATTGAAATTTCAGTAATAAAATCTTTAAGAAATTTGAAATGATTTAAGGACAATTTAGACAGTTTACATTCTTTAAACTGCGGTTTCTCAGTTTGCATTTTTTCGATAAATCCTTTTACTTAATGTCCTAAAACTTATATATATATATTTAATATTTTTACCGCTTATCTAAAAATATCTACATTTTAGAAACATGGTTGGGTTTCGCAAAATACTGAAAAGAAAAATTATTGTAAGTGAAAATGGGATTGAAATCATATTTGTCTCGAAGTTTTCACATAAAAATGTGTTTTTATTTTTTTCTCACAAACTAATTCATTAATTGCAAAATCGATCCTTAAAGTTATTAAGAAAATTTAGGGGGGGATATGAAAAATTGTAGGAAACGAAAGATATTTTAATTGTTAAATTTCTGTCCCAAAAAATTAAAATTGAAAAAAAAATTTCCTGTCTTACAAAACCATTTTAGAATATTCATAAAAAGTATATGAAAGTTCTTAAATTTAATAAAAAAAATTGTTCAAAAGCTACAGAGTCTCATTGAAGCCAATATGCAAGTCTTAGTTTTAATTTGAACGGTATTTCTAAAATACCCAGCATCAGATTACCTTGTCTGTACTTGTTTACAAATTTCCATATTTCATATGGTTCCATCTAATGTTTTTGGATGATATCGCACCCCAGATATCATGTGATCAATGTGATTGTTTCGCTGACAGCCCAACGAGTAGTCAGTTGCACGTCAGCCATATTGTTTGTTAAAATTAAGTGAATCATGCAGTGCAGTATGGGAAATTTCTCCATTCACCCTGCTCCAAAGAGATGGGAACATTCTACCAAATTCTATCTCTATTTCCGAGAGGCAGTTAATGCTTGTTCACTGTGTGAATGGGACACGTTGGAAGAACTTGTTTTTGCTAGTGGTCAAATCTGCTGTTGTGAACAGGGCTTATGTAACATTTTGCCTGCCCCTTGCAAGAATATAAAATTGATAAATAAAGTAAATTAATAATGTTCGTATTTCTTAACTATACTGAAATACATTTGTAATCATCTCAATTTTCTCATGCCTAGCTGCTTCTTTTAAGGGTCCAAATATGTGAAACTCCAGTCCTAAAAAACCATTGGCAGCACTTCATCACAGATAATTAAGTTTTGGCTTTCAAGGGGATTGATTTCCTTCACCTTTCATCTTCCATTCCATGCTTATATGCTTTGATTCTAGGTGTAGTGATGGTAATGTGTCTCATCACTGTCGATTTGATGCAAGAAAGGTGCACCTTCTTTAAAACAAGGTTGAAGAGAATGAGTTGAAACTTCAAAACAAATTTAGAAATGTGAACTTGTACAACTTTTTTATCATTCTTCAGTGAGGACATAGATGGTGAGCTTGATTTGCAACATATGTACAGCCTTGCTGGAATGTGTAGCACCAAACTTTCATGCTTGGCAATGAAAAGGTGTCTTTCCTGAACTGGGCTTGTGCAATCAATTTCACGTTTTCATGGATGAGAATTTATATGCATTGCCCAGTAGAGACAAACATACTTTTTAGACTCATCATGAGAGCTATTAAATAAAGCGTGTGACAAGCCAACTCCTTTTAGTTCCTTTACGTTTGGCTGGTCGCACAGATGTAGCTTCATTGCACTAGCTGTAGCTATCCTTCCCAGTTTAACGGAGAGTATGCTAAGAGATGGGCTGAGGATTTCTTATCCCTCTACCCCTACCACCGAAACATACTTCTAGTTCGTCATGTATTTCGAGTGCTCCAATGCTGCACAAACACTGTATGCTTACAAACATTCTTGCATTCTTTAGGATTTGAAGTGTAGCCCAACAATACAGCTGCCAGGGGTACTAAGGTATAACAATCAGGGTACCCCATACACTAGGCTGGTACAAGTTGAAGCAAGGCCAGCATTTGTGCATATTATCTAGGCATATTGGGTATTGCTGCGCCTTGCTAACTGCTAAAGTTCCGTTGCCGGAGGGATCTCTTTCCCTACCACTACCATCTTGAGGGGATTTTGGTGTGCTGTGTATTTTGAGTTATTCCTTGACACATAGATACTATATGCTTAGAAACATCCAACTTGGGCCCTTCGATGTAGCAGACTAACCGTTATCCAACTATCTAGGGAACTCAACGTAACAACCTCAGTTGTCCAGTCGCACACAAAAAACCATTCCTGATGCTCAGCCAATAAAGATGCATTCATATTTGATGGTCCTATGTATGTTATCTTTTGTTCAAAATTTTATTATGCACCTGATAGTCTTGGTTTGACTAAATTTTTTTAGTTGATGTCAAAGTGGGAGCAGGGATGAAATAACAAATGCCTTTGGGAAAGTATAAAATAGGATATATATTAAAATGTAATAAATATTACTAGGAAGTAGGTATTTAATATTAATAATATATAAATTGCTAGGAAAATATGCAAACTAATTTCATATTTAAAATTGATAAAAATTTTCTCTTGAATTACCATTAATTTTACAGAAATTTTGCTGGTTTTAACCCTTTGACTATTAACAGAACATGTATATCCATTAAAAGTACTTAGAATCTCTTGAATGTTGGGGATTTTCTTCAATAGTTGGAAAATCAAGACGCCGCTGTGCTCATAGTACACAAATGAACATAGAGAAAGAACTATGAGTTGCCCAATGTGTAATGTTGGATTATGCAAAGAATGCTTTACCCTGTACCATGCAATGTAAAATCTATTTCATTTAATAAAGTTTTTTAGAATAATAGATGTGCTTATATAAGTCGATTGCTACCTGTTATATGTATTCCACCATTGACTACAGCTAGGACAGATGTATCTCAGCCTTTGGCTTGAAAACTGTTTGTCAAAAAAATCCCTAATGCTAAATTTATCTTATTTGTGACGTATTTTGTTCACTTGGATAGAAAACTTTTTTTTTTTTTTTTTTTTTTTTTTTTTTTTACGTAGTCATAGTGTAAAGGAGATCATAGTAAAAGAAGTCCACTTTCTTCTGTGAATAAGATGTTATATGTTGTTAATGCTAAAATTGATTTGCACAGTTGTGATGAATGTGCGTAAAGTTTCCAATTTCAATTTTTGTATAACTGAAAATTTGTAATATAATTCAGTTTTCAAATGGAAGCATTGTTAAATAATTAGCATACTGTATTTATAAATTAAAATTTATAGATCTGAACTTTTTCACTTTTATTTATAGGGATGAAAATAAGCAACCACCATTGAACAATGGATATTCTTCAAACAAAAAGAAGGTAAATTTTAGAATGGCAAATAAAAATTCCTTATGTGTATTTTACTTTTTTTCCCGCTTTTCCTGATGCATTAAAAGCCTTTGGAAATGTCCATGGCAAAAGGCAAATTTTACAATATAATTTTATTTGTGCAAAAATTCTGATTAACAAAAAAAAAAAAAAAAATCTATGCAGTAAAACTTTTTGTTGTTTCTGCCCCCTAAAATTTCAGCATTCTAACTGTAAAAGTTAAAACATGATGTAGCTTTATTATTATTATTTCTTTGAGCTGAAATGGAAGAGATATCTTTCAATTTGGATTGTTTTCATCGCCATATTAAGAGTTGTAGGCTGTAAAGTGAGCTTACACTCTGAGCTCACTTCCCAGCATTTATACTGCTATTTCTTTGCCTACCTTTGAAAATGTCTTGAAATAAATTCTGATTTCTTTCATTTTTAGAATTATTTGGAAGTTGTTTGAATTAAGCCCTCCCTTCCAATCTTGGATTAATTATTTTGGAAATGTACCTTTAATTTTAAGATGTAGTTCCAAAGTTATAAAACATCCATGCCTTCTCTCTCTCCCCCCTTTATGTAAATTTCTTTTGTATCATTTATGAAGGTGGTGTCATTACAAATATTCTTACATTACAGCATCACCTACGTGTTAATTCTCTTAAATATACACTTGCATTCACATAAGTTTTATTGGCTTTACTTTGACAACCAATTTTTGTAAACATGTACTTCTAGTTATGAAAGTTTTTTAAATGATGCATATATTCATGTTTTGGCATTTGTAAATCCAAAGAAATCAATTTTGTTAAAATTGCAAAAACCAAGTTTTTACATGTTCTTCTGGTCTCTATACTTGTATTAAAAAAAAAAAAAAATTACTCTGTATAAAAAAATATAAAATATGCCCCTAATACCACAGAAACTGAAATATTTGATATTAAAATTGGAGATCAGATATAGGGTTCCTACACCAACTGAAGAGCAAAATATTTGCATTTCTATTTAACAAAAAATATATCAGTTTAGAAAAGGGTTTGTCATGCTAATAGATTAAATGGCAAGCATTGCTATGCAGATCAACTTTATATATATATATATATATAATGGAGATCTTGTTTGTAGAATCTTGCAGAATTCATGTTTTAGCAAAAAACATTAGCAGGCTTCAGTTTTGGCATGTAGCCAACTCATCATTTGCATTCATTAAAAATGAAAAGCATTTAAAACTGCCAGATTATGATTATAAGTAAATAAAGTACCAGGTGAATCTTAGTAGCATATTTTTAGACTTTAAAATTTATAAATTACTGAAAATTCTTTCGACATACTAGATGTAACAAAATTATAAATTAAAGACACTAGTAAAAATCACAAAAGAATATTATTGAAGAGTATTTAAGGGGGAAAATAAACCTCGAATAGTTATTACTGATTTATTGATTGACTCTTCAGAGCAAATTGAAAGTGACATAAAAAATTTTGAAATTAAATACTGTACACTGATATATTTTCACTTAAAAAGTCAAAGGAGCACCCAATTCTACAGTAGAAGCAAACAAAAAATACATAATCTCAATAAACTACATTTTAAACCAAACAATAAAATAACATAAAAAAGGATTATGCATTTAAGTATTACACAAAGCAAATATCCACTTACCTCTGTGGCACACAAAATTCCTTAACAGCATCCAAAAACTTCCTAAAATTATCTGAACTGGAATCTGTATATCGGCGTCGCCGCATAAATTTATAAAAATAAGAGCATCCTACGTATTCCAGACTGTCCCGAAAATGGCTACTAAGTAAACCTTCATTTACATACCAGTTAATTAATGCACTTTTCCCCTTGCGTTCCAAATCGTACAAAAACTCCAAATTAATCTTGCTACATTAAGCCATTCTATTGTCTAAACAGTGAAACAAGCAATGTATTTTCTGAACTCGCGCCACAAAAGACCTTACAAAGCATCCCACGAATTTCATTTTCTTCTCATTAAAGTTTCTAAATTCATTTCAAAATTTCTCGGAATAATGCAAACGATTACATCATAATAGAGTTTCCATAACATTCAACTACTCAGGTTACAATAAAAGAAACAACAACTTGGTGATAAATGAAACAACAACTTCGCTATAATACAAGGGGTACCCTAAAGTCAACTTTAACCTTTTATTGAATAGAAGTCAGACATTTTATTTTTTTATGAGTACAAGTGTTTTCTAAGCATAGCTGTAAGGACCAAAAGAGTGTGTAAAAAACAGATTTTTGTAATTTTACGAAACAGATTTCTTTAAATTTTCATCATTTTAAACATTTGTATAAACAGAAGTATATGTCTACAACCAATGGTTTCGAAAATAAATGCCCTTTTTTCTGGCTCCAGTTTAGATAAGTGTATTCTTTGATGTATATTTATCACCTTTTCGTATTGTTTTTAAAATTGAACTACTAGTTTACTTTTCTTGTTGTAAGATTATGATTATTCCTGGTTGAAGTCAAATATGATTGTATTCATCCATCCATTTTGATCTACTTCCAACTGCTTGAAAATTGCATTCACTTCATTCTGCTCCAGTATTTTGGGATGCCCAGTTAATGTTCCTCTTCTTTAGTCTCTTTTAAAAATCTCTTTCCACAAAATAAGTTCTCATTAAGTTCATTGGATACTGAAAAAGATTAAATGAACAGATAATAAGAGGAAATTAATAGGTAATGAGTTTATCTGATGTGTTATTTATTTAGAAAAATAGGCATTTAATGCAATTTATTATGTAAAGTTTAAACAAAAATATTATATTGTACCGCCATTATAGTACAATTATAACTATTAACTGTAAGTATTGTGGTTTTTAGAAATTTTTGTTGAATAAACAAATTTAAATTACTTTTTCCTCTAACACTAGTAGTGTTTATCTTAACTAGTAATTCTAAAGAATTATTTGACAGTAGTTTTAACAACTGCATTTCATACAAAATCTTGCTCCTTCCTCCCCCCCTTTTTTTTTATTTGTTTACTTGTTTATTTACCATTCTAATGTGTATATGAAATATTTTAGAAAAGTTTATGTTGTAATAGATGCATAAAGAAGCCCACTGTAGAGATGGGCAAAACCGCTCCTTTAAGGAATCAGATCGGAACCATTCGCTCACTGAAGTGAATCAGTTCTGTTATACCATTCACCGCTCACTAACAACGACCTTGATGAATATGGTCAGAACAGGAGAGAAGGAGCCCTGGAGCAACGAAAAAAGCAAATGATTAAGACTGAAGGAACCAGATCAGCAGCTGACTAGAGAAGGAGTGATAGGAGCTCAGAGTCTGAAGAAGCAGATCCTCACACTGCCGGATTGGGGAGGGGGGAATTCAATCTATCTGCAGAAATGAGTGGTCAGCTTTGCTAAGATGTGTCAGTTTATTTAATGTTTCGTTTTTTCAATACTAGATTGAACACAAGCAAACCCAAACACATATGCGACATAGTATATAGCACACGCAAATGAAAAATATACCATAGATGTTTTCGGTAAGTAATAAACGAAAAAATATTTGTGTTTACATCAGAGGAAGTAAATTTTTTGGCTTGCTTCACAAGAGTTCTCCATGAACTGTTAAAGAACTACCATTCCGTTTTTGCAAATCGCTGATCATTCGCTCAATAAAGTAAATTTGTTCTTTGAATCGGTTCCGGAGTGGATCGTCTACCTCTAGTCCATAGCCATGGCCAATTTAAATACTCCTTTTTATTTTTCTTTAACCAAACATTTTAGTGATATAATTTTATATAACAATGTAATTTTAATGATGTATGGTAATAGGTCAATGAGCCGACATAGGTAAATGTGTGCAATAAGGGCCTGTTCTTGAGAAACATCCATAACAATAAATTCTTTAAATACCTTTTAAGCAGCAAACATTAACAGTTTACAGGACATAAGTAAGAGCAAATATGAGATACATTCAAACTGAAAGCTTGGGGAAGAAGAAAAAAAATTTGATTCTCAAAAATGTTTGTTTCAATTTTGATGTATTGTAATTGGTTAATTAATAACTTTCTAAAATCATTATTAGCTGAAGTTTACATAAGTTCTCTGCATCAGAGCTGTTAATTTTAAAATGATGCAGTTTAGAGAAGTTTATTATAAACTATTACTATTTTTAGGACACAAAGGGTAAATATCTAGATTAAAATGGAGAGGATTACCAAAATAAAATTTTATGTTATGTTTTTGATATTATTGAAACTGGAAATAACTGAACCCCCCTTTTTTTAATTCTTCGGATTATTTAAATTTATTTGCATTCACAAATTCATTGTATAGTATAATTTTAAGATGTCCATTAGGCATTTTCTTTCAAAAACATTTAATTTTGTTTTACCCCTCCGTTTTTAGGGAGGTGTATGGAAAGTCGGCATATACATCTAGGAAACAGACTAGAAAAATATAAACAAAAGAAAATGATTAAAGAGCAGCCAGAAAATGCCTTTGTGCTCTTTCTGGCTAAACTTTAATTCTCAAGACAAGTTTCCCTTGTTTATATTCACTGCTATCTCTGGTGAATAAAAGATATTTAATTAAAAAAAAAACTGTTTAAAAGCAAAATATGTAACACTAAAATTGAAAGTTTCTTAAATATAACCTAGTAGTCTATAATGCATGTTCTGCACCAAATTGTGAAATTTGTCTCTTGTATGCATTAAATATGAACATAAACTATAAATATTAAATTAGTAAATTTGTTTCAAATTTAGGATGAAAATACTAGCAGTGAATCTGAGGATGAACCTTTGTCATCCTTTCAAAACAAGTCTACTGAGAAGTCCATTCCAAATAAAAAACTGAAAAAGAGCAGATCAGTGAACTGTGATAGGTACACGCTCTTTTATTTATTATGTGTTGATCTAATATGAACTTAAGTACATAAAGATATTTCCCCCTTAATTTCTAAGAATTTGTTATGCAAATGTAGTGTGTCCTTTTGTTGAAACTGAGCCTCATGTTTCTGGAATGCTAATATTTTATTTGCCTAATTATTCTCCTTAATATCAATTTCAAATAAGTTTAAATAGTTTAACTCTAATTCAAATTGAAATTTTGTTCCAAATAGTTTTCTTTCTTTATTATAGTGATGATAGTGACTATCAGCCAATACAGGCTTCAAGAAAGCAATTAGGGAGCATGAAAAGTAAACAAGTAAGCAAAGTGCAAAATATATATTGACTGGTTTATCATTCTTCTTTCGTATAATTATTTCTTTTGGCTTATTAACAGAAACTTTAGGTCAGTTACTGTGAAGTTTTGACATATTAACATTTCTAATTGCTGTGTTTGTTCAAGAATTACATATTGTTTTAATATAAAAAGGGTGAAGTATTTCTAGTTCTTCGTGTTTTCTGCATATGGAAGAAAATCACAAAAAATATTATACCTTAAATTTTTTTTTGTTGCTTTTATAACACTAATATACTTGATTTTTAAGTAAATAATTTTAGATGGTATGGTATATTTAATTATAGCAAAGCACTCTAGGGCTATCTGCCTGAGGGATGCCTTCGTTAAGGACTTTCTAAGGGAAACTGGCTTGTATACACAATACACATGGAGAAAACCACAAAAACACCCATGCAGCCAGCCTGTTTGCCAGGATTCGAACTCAGATTGAACTACCAGTGTTCAGCGACTTTACCGCTCGGCCTAAATAATTTTAGAATGCTAGTATACTGTCAGTATTCTTAAATGTAGGAAATCCTTGTTTAATGCAAATTTGTCATGTATTATAATTCATATGATTTAGTGAAATGGTATTCTATCATATTTTAAGTGACTCAATCAGTTATTCAAATATATTTTTTCTACAAGTAATTTTTTTGTGGCCAGTTTGCTGAAATTCAGTAATATTAAGTTGACTGTGATGGCAAATGTCAAAATTCCAGTCTAAGAAGCATATTTGATTTTATTAAATATAACCTAGTAGTCTATAATGCATGTTCTGCACCAAATTGTGAAATTTGTCTCTTGTATGCATTAAATATGAACATAAACTATAAATATTAAATTAGTAAATCTGTTTCAAATTTAGGATGAAAATACTAGCAGTGAATCTGAGGATGAACCTTTGTCATCCTTTCAAGACAAGTCTACTGAGAAGTCCATTCCAAATAAAAAACTGGAAAACAGCAGATCAGTGAACTGTGATAGGTACACGCTCTTTTATTTATTATGTGTTGATCTAATATGAACTTAAGTACATAAAGATATTTCCCCCTTAATTTCTAAGAATTTGTTATGCAAATGTAGTGTGTCCTTTTGTTGAAACTGAGCCTCATGTTCCTGGAATGCTAATATTTTATTTGCCTAATTATTCTCCTTTTATTATAGTGATGATAGTGACTATCAGCCAATACAGGCTTCAAGAAAGCATTAGGGAGCATGAAAAGTAAACAAGTAAGCAAAGTGCAAAATATATATTGACTGGTTTTATCATTCTTCTTTCGTTATAATTATTTCTTTTGGCTTATTAACAGAAACTTTAGGTCAGTTACTGTGAAGTTTTTGACATATTAACATTTCTAATTGCAGTGGTTTGTTCAAGAATTACATATTTTTTTAATATAAAAAGGGTGAAGTATTTCTAGTTCTTCGTGTTTTCTGCCTATGGAAGAAAATCACAAAAAATATTATACCATAAATTTTTTGTTGCTTTTATAACACTAATATACTTGATTAAGTAAATAATTTTAGATGGTATGGTATATTTAATTACAGCAAAGCACTCTAGATATATCTGCCTGAGGGATGCCTTCGTTAAGGACTTTCTAAGGGAAACTGGCTTGTATACACGATACACATGGAAAAACCACAAAAACACCCATGCAGCCAGCCTGTTTGCCAGGATTCGAACTCAGATTGAACTACCAGTGTTCAGCGACTTTATTGCTCGGCCTAAATAATTTTAGAATGCTAGTATACCGTCAGTATTCTTAAATGTAGGAAATCCTTGTTTAATGCAAATTTGTCATGTATTATAATTCATATGATTTAGTGAAATGGTATTCTATCATATTTTAAGTGACTCAATCAGTTATTCAAATATATTTTTTCTACAAGTAATTTTTTTGTGGCCAGTTTGCTGAAATTCAGTAATATTAAGTTGACTGTGATGGCAAATGTCAAAATTCCAGTCTAAGAAGCATATTTGATTTGCTTCTGAGACTTCTGATCATTAAAAATTAAACTGGATAAGCTCCATTATTTACAGAGTACCTCAACAGAGCCTTGTCAAATCTGGGCCAAAGCTCAAAATGGATAAATGTTTTATTTCTATCCAATTTGTAAAGAGAAAGCATTTTGCTTTTGTGTGGGAAACTTTTGAAAAATATCACAAAAAATAAAAGATATTTTTTACTTCTTAATTTTGTTTTTGAATAAATAATGATATTGAAATTAAAGTTTTATATTTCCTAGTCTCAGTTCATATAAGCCAATCTTAATTTTTCTGTCTTTTCTCATACGCCACTTTTTCTTACATACACTTATATTCTATGAAACTAAATGTAGCTGCATGAAAATGACATGTTATTGCATTCGAATTTTCTCTCAGTGTATTAAACAAATTTCTATTGTGCTGAAGAAACTTTATAAAGCACTGACTCTCATAATATGTAATCACAAATTTTTAGTAAATGTTAAAATTATGTTCATTTTGAATAATATATAGTTTTAGGGATTAATATAAATTAATAGCAAAATTTGTTAAAATCCATATCGGATTTTAATAAATGGTAAAAATTCTCTTTGTAATAATTTCGGCAATATCATGAATCAATGTGGGATTGCCTTCCATTTAGAAGGGAAAATTCTTTTTACTTACATTGAGTTACTAGTTTAAAGTTTGACCATAGGCTTAAAGAATTTGAGCTAGTTTTGCAGTATCACTGAGTATTCTAAGGAAATTTTTATGTTGATTCTTACATTATATGAAACTTACAAGCCATAAAAATCTTGGTATCGCAATTCACCAGTTTTTGCATATTGTATGACCAGATGATCAAGTTGTGTTCTATTCAAATATCTTTAAACAACTTTCTTGTTAAAATGTAGCTCAGTCAAACAAAATAGAAATTAAATTATTAGGCATTAAATAAAATTTATACAATTATTTGTAATCCTTGATGTGTTTATCCTCTAATTATATTTTTTCTCTTTCAAATTTATACTTACTAGAGGATCTATTATAATAATGCATTTATTTATTCCGTTTGCATGATACAATTAATGAATATTTTTCCTCATAATCTATGAGAGTTTTTAAAATCGAGAGTTTATATATTAAAAGAAGTATAGTTATGCTATGAAATTAGCTTCATGCTATAGTTATTAAGGAAAGTAAATAATATTTTATAAATCGAATATGCATATTATTTTCCTGAGTTGCTGAATTCATTTATTTCAAAGGGCAATACTGTAAAAAATTAATCATTTAAAAGGGAAAAAAAAACATATGAAAGCCTTCATATTTTATTTTATGCCCAAAGGGGCATTTTTTAAATGTTTTATGTGTTACCTTTATTTATTAAATATCATATTCTTGGCACTTAAACTATAAAATTCAATTCAACAGCAATATTGCAAAATAATTTTTAAATGAGCATATCTTTAGAATTTCCGATACACAGCCTCGCATTTTGGAGATAAAAATGTTTTTTTGTATAGTGTTGCTCGCTTTGAAATAGTTGAGTTTCTTAATCAGAACTCATAAATGCTTTATAAAATATGAAATAGATAATAAAATAAATTCCAAATTTGGGCTTCCAGATGTCCATATTCAGGCAGAGACGTACGTTATTCAAAATTTGATGGCACTAAGTATGTTGTTTTATCACAGTTCGGGAAACATGTATACATTTATGCAGATTCTTCATTATTTAATCTTTAAATATAATACAGGGCTCTAATATTTGGTACTAGCAATTTAAAAAGCGATTCACCATTTATAGTGAATCAATGCAAAATGCTAAAACGAAATTAATAGCCCTTCTGGGCAAATTGCTCCTTCGGGCTAATTAAACCTTTAAGTAAATAGAATTTATATTCAAGTGTTAAAGAAAAATATACTGATAATACTAATATTTTTGTTTGTTTAAGTTTATTTTGGCTGTATAAATGGCAACAGTAATAATAATATAATAATAAATACCATGAATAATAAAATATATATTTTTAGAATTTTAATTCTTTGCAAAATATGTAATATGTGTATTTTTTATGTATTTTTCTGTGAATTTTGCTTAATTGTGGTACCAAAATTTTAAAACAGTTGGACATTTCATAGGACATACCTTTATATATATATATCAGTATGGATTTTCAATGATATTAAGAGCTTTCATTTTTACCATGGCCATGAGAATTAGTAATTTCCGAAAGTAATAGCAATCACTTTCCTGAAAGTTTATTCATATTTAAACTTTTAAGTATTTCTTGCTACTTAATGCTCATAGTTCATATTTGAAACTGAGCAATGCATTTTAAATTAAGATTATTATTATGTACCTTTCTGAAATATATTTCATCTTCATTACCATATAAGAAGCACTTTTTTCTTTAAAAATGGGGTGTGTCTTATACGTTGATACTCAGTTTTTTATTACATTCATTTCTGGAAATTTCCTCTATTCAGATTTATGCAATTTTTTTTTTTTTTTTTTTTTTTTTTTTTTTTTTTTTTTTTTTCTTATTTCCTCGAGAGTGTGGGAATATTACAGTTACATATAATTCAGCGAATGGGCATGCGATGTCATTGACAATCATAACTGGGTTTGTTTAAACTTTCCACTTTTTGTGAACAACATTTAACTGTGTGAAATTTCTCCTGTTCAATTTTTTGAAATTTGTTGGCAAGTTATGGCTTAGAAACAACGTCACCATTGCTATAACATAGCATACAAGCTACATGTGATTGCATATGCTAAAGAACCTGGAAACAAGGCTGTATTTGTATTACTTTATATTTAAAATACTGTAAATTCATTATAATGATCAGTAATAAAGCTTTATCCTTCAAAAGTATGTATTAAATAGGGGGTGCCTAGTACGTTGGCAAATACAGTAATTTTCGACTTCAACCTATTTTATAGAACAAAATTTAATTTTAAATACTCAAATTCATTCAGGTATTTTCTGTATCCAATACACTATACAAATATTTTACCTCCCCCCCTTTCAAGAATACAGTTATCATATCTTCTGATTAAAAAATGTAAGTTCTTATGACTGGCATGAAATTAGGAATTTCTAATAATTTATGAAATAATTTATTTTTTAACATCTGCTTTATGTGCTTTTATATTAAGGCTGTGATAGAATCTGATGTGTCTAGTGAAACTACGGATGACAAAAGGAAAGTATCTTCATCAGAAAATGAAAGTGATGTTGAGTTAATAAATTTGAAAAAGGAACTGTAAGTATTATTATTTTAAATACTCATACATTGTAATTTTTACTTACAGAAAGATTTTATTTCAATAAAAATGCAAATCTGCAATAACTTTAATAACCATTGTAACTCTTTTTTTTTAATTTATTTTTTAACAGGGGGATTATTTGTCGTATGAAATGCATTTGAATTATATATTTTTTAATTAATCTTAATATTTATTTACATAAAACATTTTCAGTTATTTAGGTTATGCCCAGTAAAATGTGTAAATGCATTTTTCATTGAAATTAGCCTGAGTAGTATTTTTATTATACTCATAATTAATTATTTTAAGAAATTTTGCTATCCTGTTTTTTAAAACCTTTTGCCTCAAAAATCATATCTTATTTTTATCAGGTCTTCGAAACAAAATAAAAGGTCTCTTTCCACTAAAAAAAATGTGAAAACAAAGAAAAGAAAATCTGATGAAAGTAATGAAAAAAGTAAAACTAAAAAGGTAAGAAATTTATTTAAAATATTTGTCTAATTTTTTTATAGTATTCTGTTAAATTTCAGACTGGCTAGTGATATTGTAAATCTTGATAAATAGTAGAATATTTGCATTCTGCAAAAATTTTATCATTATTTCTGTCTATCATTGTATTTGTTACATATTAAGATCTTTCATTTTTAGTTTACATTTATCAGTGTGCGTTCAGTCCCAAAGCTGATCAAAAAAGCACTTTTAGTAAATTATAACATTTTAAAATGGATTATTTTAAGAAAATAATTTTCAAAGCTATTGTAATGTTTTAATAATTAACTGTAGTTTTATACTTACTTTAAAATTTAAATTGCAGAGTTGCCAACTCTCCCGATTTTTCGACCACTCTCCCGCCAATCCGATTTGCAATATATTTCTCCCAACTTTTTCTTATTCTTAAAATTTCTCACGATTTGTATGGAACTTGGCTTAATACCTCGTTATATGAACAAGAAAAAAAGTGATTTTGGACGTCTGAAAGCAATTGAATTTTCTCTAGATTATATCTAAAACCAAACCTTGCGAATCAGATAACTTCTGCTTTGTGAGTGAGAGCATATACGTATCCAGAAATGTCGTTCTCCAGTTCTCCAATAGGCATCGAGCTCCACTGTGTGTGATCTGACATATATTAGCCAATGAGGACAAAGCAAGCTGTTATTTGGATGTTCTTTAGTTATTTCATTCATTTTTGTCCTGAGTTGTGCGAGTACACGTGCCTTAAAGAAATAGTTTTAGAAAATATCTTTTGTTATGTCTACGAGAAAGGTGAAATACTCGTGTATGTTTCAAAAATCGTACACAGTTGACTTTCCTTCCATTATTTCCTCAAGGAAATGTAATAAATTTGCGATGTGTAACGCCTGTCATTGCGATTTTTCGATTTTGCATGGTGGAAGGGCGAAGTTTACACACATGTGCGTACACAAAAACACAAGGACAACATGAGTTGTTTTGAAAAAAACGAAAAATTAAATTTTTCTTCAGAAACAAAGGACCAAAAAATTATTAATGCAGAATGTCTGTTCTCTGTCTTTTTACTGGAGCACAACCTGCCACTGAATGCATCGGATCACGCTGCAGCTTTATTTAGAAAATAGAAAATTTCCCGATAGTGAAATCGCTAAGAAATACCCAAGTGCAAGAACCAAAACAGGTGCAATTGTTAAAGAAACGGGTTTGAAAAATAAATCCTCAGCAAGCAACAGACTCTTTTTTTTTTTTTTTTTTTTTTTTTTTCCCAATCTGAATTGAATAGGACTAAAAGTTCTGTGTTCTACCAACCCTAGCGAAGAATGATTCTATTCCCGAAATTTAACGCCGTCTGTTGAAAATTAGAATGAAAAACACCTTAGTTATTTTGTTCTTTATTCTTCCAATACCGGCAGCAGTTGATTCCGATTGTGTAATATCACGTTGGGAAGAATTACGGAACACGTATTGCTCAATAACGTTTGCGATATTTTGCAGAGATAATTAATTTTGATGTTCTGTCCGAGATTTGTTTATGAACACTTAAAAGAGTTTTACTGTGATTGCTAAGCAGAGTATTTTTCAGTTCCATTGGTTTATTTTTATATGATGCACATATCGAAATGTCAAAAGCATTTATTTAGCGGAAAAATCTAGAGAGCGTCTACAGTCTACCCCTCCGCTCCTCTTTTTCAAGTTAGGCTCGACTGTCCGAATATTCGCCAATTTCCAAGTATGCGGGTTAGTTAAGCTTTTACTGTTAAAGGATGACTGCATGAAGCAAATTTCTGTCTTCTGATTTCAGAAATGATCCTCTTTTTTACTTAAATTACTTTGCTTGCAATATCTGTTAAGGGAAAACATATACAATGAAAATTTAGAAAATGTTCAGAATTTAGATTTAAATTATTTAAATATCAATATGAGTGGAAAAATAAATTGTATTTATTATTAGGTCCAAGCGAATACAAAAATGTGCCTTATTATTATTTATTTTCTCTATTTGAACTGAAATTTCATCATTAAATCTTGTAATATAGTTTAGTTCTGCATAGTTTTTTTCCTCTCATTATAAACTAGTTCTGTAAATTGAACTGTTATTTAAAATTTAAAAAAAAAAGTAATTATTTTCCATGGTTGAGGTAATGTTTATTCTCTCTTAATAAATACTGTATTTCTCATATTTTAAATTACAAGTCTAATTTTTAAGGTTATGCAGTTGAGTATAATGTAATTAGACAGGTGCTTATTTTTTTTTCTTAAAATGTGCTTGGAAAGTGCATATAGGTGCTGATGGAATTTTTAAATATAGTGAACTGTCTAGAATTATGTTGGTCATCTTGACAGTTTCCATAGTAATGCAGAACGTGAGAGGATTTTCAGTGTTGTTGCGAAACCGAGGACTAAATTTAGATCTAATATTAGTGATGACACATTAACCGCTTGCCTGATTATCCCGAGAAAGCTCCGTGAAAGAGATTCCAGCGGTAAGCCAGTAAGAAAAGAGACCAGATACCAGTGTAGAATGTCAGGTATCACTCTGTGTTGTCCCTTGTTTCAAGAACTATCGTACAAAGATTAATATTTCACTTTTTTCCGTTTGCGAGAGATAACTCGGTATAGTAAACTAATATTAAAAATAAATGCTTTTACACCTTAAAAAAATTAAAAATTCAACTTAAAACCTACATACTTTGATTTGTTTTGTTTTGTTGTATTTAATAATAAAATTTAAAAAAATGCAATAATTTTTTGCAATTTTTTTCAAAAAAAATTTGTAAGGGAAACGGTTAAAAAAAATTCATTAGCGAAAGCAGGCGTACGTGGCAAGTGCTATGAACAAAATTATGAAGTTTCTTTCTTTAAAAAAGCAAAATCTGCCACTGTTTATAACATTTGTACAAAAACTGAAAAGTGTTTTTTTGTTTTTGTTTTCTTAAACGATGCAAGTAATAAAAATGTTTTTTATGTGTAAGGTATTTTTGTGTTGCTTGCATTTAAGAATTAGTTACTATTTAAAGTTAATTCATTATCAAAAACTATATTTTTATCATTTAAAAAGTCTTTTTAACATTGTGAAAAATCTCCTGATTTTTGAGTATCATAGATTAGTATGAAATTAATTCAATCTTAGAATTTAGGTTTCGTTTTACTTAATAAAATTAATACTAATAATAATGAAGTAACATTATCCTAATTAGACTTTATAGAACATTTTAATGTGAAGATGCACAAAGGAAAAAAATAAGTCATCTGAAGAAATACACATTTTCTGCATAGCATGAATTTTATTCAATTAAAATCTTTGCTAGCATTGTGCGAGTCCAAATGAACATCAAGTTCATAAAATTTAACATTATAAAGTTCACAATTTAGCTAGGGAAAAAATCTATAAGTAATCTTGAAATTAATTTCTTCAAAGTGAATGGAAATTAGTAGGATCTTTTCAGTTTTACACTCAAATTATTTCGGTAATATCTTATGGTGAAATGCAAGCATTTCTTGGGAGTCAAAGGTAGATACATGTAATTACAATGTTAGTCTCCAGTGTTTATAAATTCGTCATCAAGAGAAATGACAGTTAATAATTTCTCCATTTTATATTATCAAAATCTATTATTTATGTTAGTAAGATTTTACTGTAATAATAATTTGAGCAATAGAGAGTAATAGAACAAATGCTGTTCTGAATTCTTGCATTACTTTTCCTAGTTCCATTAATCCTTTCAAGATGGGCATTCCATATACGCATTCCCTAAGAACGTCTCTTACAGCCGGGCGTCCCATCCACGCATCACTAGAGATTGCATTCAGAGGACGGGTGATGCGTAAATGCATTTTAAGCTGGAATTCTTTTTTTGAAGGCCACTAGATGGCATCCTATGTCCAATTACTTTTGAAATGAACACAGTTTTAGGTTCCTGACCTTGAGTTGGATATATTCTGCTTGACTTTGGTATTTTAATCAACTGCTGGGAGGAGGGAAAACATAAACAGGGGTGTGCTCTTTAAATCGCTGTGTGCTAATGAAAACATTCGCGTGTCTGATTTATATAAATTCCTTTTTTTTATTATTATTATTCTATTTTTTCCCTCTACCATGTACGGTCTTTTAGGGTTACTATCTGGAGTTTCGTTACTCTTTGCATTACGTTGAGATATATTTCTGTTTCTTCTCTTTTTATTTCAGAAAGCCTCCCTCTAGTCTATTATGGCGGGAAGGCGCTATTTATCAGAGGAAGAATACTCTAGTATGGTTAGTGGACCATTTACTAACGCAGATGAGAATGATGATTCATTTTCTAAGGAGTTTCTAAGGAGTAAAGTGATACTTTTTCTAAGCGTTAGAAAGCGATCAGTGGGGTAGCTAGGATTCCAGCGCCCGGGGACAACTGAAGAATTTGCGCCTCTTTCTGTGTGCCATGAATGGAAAACATTTAATTAAAAAATTTCTTAGCATTAATTTGGCGCCGCCTGGATGCTGCGACCGGGGACAGATGTCCCCCCTTGCACCACCCTAGCTACGCTACTGAAAGCGATACTTCTCCGTGCTTCGAGATTTACCACACTCAGTCTTCACTTAAAATTTTGTTACTTCTTACTTTAAATAGTCCTTTATTGTGTTGTTTTATTAATTTTAAACTTTATTGATGGGTTTTATCAATTAAAACTTTGGAGTAATTTGAATAGCGCTTCTGAAAATTATTTTACAAGATAAGCAATTTTTAAGTATATTTTCATGTAAAATAAAGAAAAAAAAAGAAGAAAAAAAAAAAAAACATTATTAAGTGCTAATTTTAACATATATAAGAGCTCAAGTAATAAATTAAAATACCAAAAATTACGATGCTAGAAGCGAAACTTTTTTTTTTTTTTTTTTTTTTCTGATTTTTTTTATAAAATTAGGCTTAGCAATGCAAAACCTCTGTCCTGTACGGTGACTACCTTCGATTCCCTTCCATCCCACATGAGCGTCTTAAACAAAGGTGCCATCGCGAAAGGGTTAAAAATCAAGTATCACCAGCCATATTCTTTTGGAAAGATCTGAAGTTTTGAAATTAGTTAATAACTTTTATAGAGCTATTCCATTTGGTAATATTTTCTGCAACTCTAAACATAACTGATAATTTTTTATACAAGTGTTAGGAATGTTAGCTTTACTGTACTAATGATGATGATTATTTTGACTTTTGTTAAAATTTGAATCTGATGGATTTTTATAAGCTTTTATTTGGTTCACACAGAGTGTTTCACCATGGTTAAAATTGTCTCGTCAATTTTTTACTTATTTCTGATAGACTATCAAGTTTCAATTTTGTATACACACTATTGGTCGATGACAATGCAATGTGGTGAAGTAATTTTTTAATTTCAATTTAAGTTTTATTTTATTTAATGTTTAAATGATTTTTCACGCATATCAGAACAAACTAAGAATTTTACTTTCTGCACTTCTGAACAGAAGGGGGGAATCTTTTAAATGAAATTTATATGAAAATTGTGATTTAATTTCTGAATTCTGGAGAATATTCGAAAATTGCTCAATTTTTCCATCTATTTGATGTTCATTATTTTAGAATTTCAGCATTTAAAAATGTATCAGATATAAAGTTTTAAAATTTTCACAGATTATAAAACAAACACTGCCCTCTTTTGAAACAAGGACTATAAAAATTATTAATTGGATAATTTTCTGTATATATTTAAGAAATAAAATCGGTACTTCTGGTCATTGCATCACTTGCGAACATGTTACTTTCAAGGTTTCACGATATAAACTTGTAAAGAGAAATCTTTAATCTCCTTTCTTCATAAAACTGTATGATATATATATTTTCTCTTGAGTTCATTAATTATCTCATCCATTTTAAATAAAAGCTTTTTTTATAAAAATCTTTTTTAAATTGGATCTTATTAATGGCTAAATTTCATGATATAATCTTCATGAACTTTTTTCATATACCTTGGGCAATCTTTATAATGGTCTCTAGCAATTTATACACTTAGGAGGACTACTGTTTTCAATATCTCAGAGGCATGAGATGAATACTTTGGGTAGCCTTTACAGTGGTCTCTAAGCAACTTATACACTAGGGAGGACTTCTGTTTTCAGTATCACAGAGGCATGAGATGAACTGAAGCACATTTCATGTACTTGCTAAGGAGCGTCAGTTTTCTTTCATGTGATTAACTCTGGCATTTGTGACACTGTGGAGCAAATTCCTCATCTAAAGCATATTGAAAATGTTACTACACTCACCCAAAGTAACAGGTTGTGGAAAGTTTGCACTTAAAATTTTAACTGTGCAAGTTTGGGAGAGTTAAATCTTCAAATTGTATAGCTCTCATTGAATAAGATTCATAGCTGGTGATAAGTCTTTAATTACAGCTAAAATTGAAGAAATTAATTGAACATGGTTTGTAAAAAAGTTATTCTCGTGATTTTTTTTTAAAAGAAAAAAATAGTTTGCATTTTTGTTGAGAGGTACCGCACAGATGCAGTAATAAAAAATTGATAAATCAGAGTCTTATAAATTGCAGGTTTTAGGGTTATCAGCTCATTTCTGAATATTCCTTCTACTTGCTCATATATAAAGTTTTAATTGTGATGTCGATAAAGCATAACTAGTGGAATGATTTTACCTCAGGCAAGAATCACTGAAAGGTTGCAGACACAGAAGAGATAGAAAAAAGGTTCAAGTCCAATCATTTGCTGGACTAGCTTTCCTGGTAAGACGTTTTAAAGAAATGGGAATTTTATGTAATTGCCTTCCTGGTGGTGCATCAAGTTTATCAGGTATCTGTACTTCCAGTCTGGTTTCACAGATTGACACTCTAAGGGACTACTTGTGTGGCCTTTTTTTCTTTGAAGAGGGTTGCACAGAAGATGGCTGGAAGACCTGCTCAATTCTTAGAAAATGCTACTTGCAACTGCTGCTGGAGAAAGTGATACCACATGCTGAAACATGATGTCCTTGACACAGTGACGTTCATGCAAGACAGAGCACCAACTCGTATCACAATTGAAGTAAGGACATTCTTTAGAAAAACTTTCTAATTTGGCATCAAAATAGAAATGAGTAGCCCCCTTGTTCGTCGGACTTAAACACCACCTGATTTTTGGCTTTGGAGTTACATCAAGTCTAGACAGTACCACAATAACCCACTTCTTTGGTGCAGTTAAATGATGCCATTCATCACGAAATCTCTTGCATCTATTCAGATATGCTATATGTTGCAGTTAATGGTGTTGTAACTTGCTTGCAAACTGTAATCTGTGATAATGCCAGGCTTATAGAATAAGAGTGATATGCTTGTAAACAAATGAAGTTTTGCTTGAAATGTGTGATTTGCTCTCATACAATGCTCTCTATCGACGAAAGTTTTAATTTTTAACCCCCCCCCAAAAAAAAACAGCCCTCTTCATGAAAATAACTTTTTCATAAAACATGTTCAATTCAACCAATTCTTCAAATTTAAAATTTTTACAATATTTACTAGTTTATGGAACACCCTATATATAGTGGCACTAAAATTGGTTATTGTTTTAGTCATTTATTTCTCCCATTATTTTATTGCATGTTCAGATTTTAAAATAGTGTTTTAGTGGTGAGATCTAAGAAACAAGTAACTAACTAAAAGCAGCAGATCGCACACTACATGATTTTCCGAGGGAACTTTTAAATTCAAAGACTTGCAAATTTCTCCTTAAAGTTGGTTTATAAGAAACGTAACTTCCCATGTTTTCATGTATGGGATTGACTTCATTTCCTTCTCAGAACATAAACATTTGCATCACTTACAGCATACAGTTTACTAGCAGATTTATTTTAATATAAATGTTTTTGTTCAGGAGGATTTTTTTCACAGCTTCCTTCATAAATTCTCATTTTATAGAAATGGTAATATGAGAATATGGCAAAAATTTGAAATACATTTCATGAAAGAGAACTGCTTCCTTAAAGGAGCTAAGGTTTTTTTTTTTTTTTTTTTTTTTTTTTTTTTTTTTTTTTTTTTAATGTACTTTTTGACAGTTTACATCCAACAGCTAGTTAGTGCCTTAATTGTTGTATGGCAAAAATATTAGTATGGAGGCAATATTCCAAACAATTTGTATATTCATCTTTAAGTAATATTCTCAAATTATTGATAACAACCATTAAAAAAAATTAAACTTATAATTCAAGTATTTAATGCAGCATTTATTACAGTGAATAAATTGTGTATTTTTTATTTATTTTTCAAGTCAAAAGTGGAATTGGAGGATAAATCCAGTGAAGGCAGTTTAAAAAAACAATTCTCTAGTGAAAATTTGCAGGAAAACAGCTCTCCTGCAGAAAATATGTATGTTTTTATTTAAATGTAGTTGTTTCATATGCAGAATTATTTTATGCTATTAAGATTTTTTTTTTTTTTTTTTTTCAATCTTTTATTGTATTTAGAATTTAAAGTACTGCTTTTCGTAACTTTCACAGGAGTTCTGATTCATCTATCCTTGCAAGTGATGATGAAGTTTCATCTAAAAAGCAGAAGAAAGAAACTCAAAAAAAAAGTGGAAAGGTATTGTGGGGTTGATGCATGTCTTTTATCATTTAAATGCATTATAAAATTATATCTTATCTATATATGTATATGTTTACAGAGTGCTCGGAAAATATCTGGAAAAAATATAAAGGGTATAAAGGGGAATAGAAAAGGCAGAAAGAAGCACATTTTGTAATGGAATGTGTGCACCAAAATCACACACGGAGGTGGTGCAGGGTGCTCTTGAGCGAAAGATGAGCATGTTCAACAGATGTAAACACTCACTGCATCGCTGTATGAATGCATAAGTCATCAACATCCATTTTATCCATGGATCTGTGGTTAAAATGGAGTTTGTAAATAGAAGTACAGTTAATGGTTCCCCTATCCCAGGGGTGGCAACGTGCGGCTCTTTTGATACAAAGTTGCAGCTCTCCAGTCCCATACGGAAAAATTAATAATTTATTATCAAAACCCTTAAAAATAAGAAAATATATTTTTAAGTGCCTAATTTTTTAGCTTCTATTTTCATAATCGTTAATTACAAATAGCTATGCTTAACATGACCGTAATGAGATACACTTGAACCACTAATACTATACTGTTAATTTGAACTATTGTTCATTTTTTCAGTTCAGCCATTAGCATGGCATCTGATGGCTGAGCTGAAAAAGAAAACCAAGAATTCAATCATGATTGGGCGGAGTAGTTTGCATTCATATGCAACACAGATCCAACTTGTCTCATTTTCCACCAAAAACTCGCACCAAGAAGTCGAATTTAAAAAGACACTTCACTACAAAACATACCCAGTTTGCTGGTAAATATCCAACCGGGGACGCACGAAAATAGCTCTTGAAGAGCTCCAAAAAGAAAACAACAACAGTCAAGTTCCATGCTAAGTTAACTGGGTACAATCTTCCAATAATGTAAATCTGCCAAGGTGAATACATCAAAGATTGTTTTATACATGCATCTGAATAACTGTTTCATGATCACTGTTTTGTAAAATCAAAGCAGAAATCATGAAAAAAATCAAAGATTTGCCATTATCTGCAAAAACAGTACAAGATAGAACTGCTAAGATGTAACACATATGCAAGTGGAAGATATTCAGCTGGCTTCTGCCTTATCACTTGCTATAGATGAGCGTTGTGACATAAAAGACACGGCACAAGTTATCCTTTTTGTAGGGTATATGTCCTCCCAAGGTCCAAACAAAGAACTGTAGGATTGCTATCGTTCTCAGGGTAAACTTGTGGAGAAAATAGAGCAAATGTTTGGGCAAAAATGCCTGAAAGACAATGAAATTAATATAAATAAAACTGTTTCCATAACAGCTGATAGAGAAGTATGACAGGAATACATAGAGGGGTAACATCAATTCTTCAGAAAAAATAAACCATGAAATTCTAACTTTCACTGCATAATTCACCAAGAAGCGCTTTGTGGCCAAAATAGTTGAGGTCATGAACTTGGTAATGAGATACATTCCACAAGAGAAGAGGAAGAAAGACCTTGTTGCTTGTTTGCATTAGCTGTACATAAGTCACGTGATCTCTGAGGTCATCTGCATTGTTTGTTTATAAAAGGTATATATAAGTCACGTGATCAATGAGGTCATCGGAATGTATCTCATTAAGATTATTAACATTTTGCAAAAGCACAGTACCATCACCAGTTTGAAGATTTCCTTGATAGATAGCCAGTTTTCTGACCTACTTCTGCACAATAAAGTGGCTTTCCAGAGGTAACGTATTGCAACGTTTTGCTTTGTGCGAGTGAAATAAAAACATTCCTCATGAAAACATGAAAAAAACATGACCATTCCGAATCGGAAGAAGACAAACGGCTGCAAAAATTCTACTTCATGGTAGTCGACCTTGCCCAGCCTGTGAATCGAACCCCGTACCTCTGGTGCTGCTGCGCGATGCGCTAGCCACTGCACCACTGGGCCTCACCACAATGAAACTAAATATAAAACTGCAAAGAAAGGGAAACCCAGCCTACACCTAGCTTGAAGAAGTAGCTTGTTTCGAAAACAAATTACTGTATTTCACGGCATATAAGACACACCCTTATTTAGAAGGCCACACACATGTAGATGTAGAAAAAGTTATGTGTATCTATATGTTTATCCGGGCTAAAAATAGCATTCAGTATTGAAAGTTAACCTGTGACCTTCACATATAAGACGCAGGTAACTTTTTTGAGACCAAATTTAGGGAAAAAAGTACGCCTTATATGCCGTCAAATATGGTACTTATTTTTGTTGAAGACATGGAGAGCGATATATTAATTAATTTTGAAAATCTGAAGTATATCACAATGAGACCAACGCAACTATTGACACGAATTACTTCAGCACAGTTTACTAAAAAATTAAAGATGAATTTGCTGACAGATTTGAATAATTCAAAAAACAATAAAACCACTCTAGCATTCATAGTAAATCCCTCTCAACACAAATAAAATAGTAACGACAATGCACACTGAGCCATTTGGAATTGATACCGGAATCTGCTAGAAATGCAATTGCTATCGATTTAAAAAGTAAAGCTTTGTGGAATGGAACATTTAGAGAGTTGAAGAAGCAAGTTGGAAGAGATGGAGGTCCAGAAATGAATGTACGTAATGCAACAAATGTGGACGCTCTAAACGAAATCTGCGAGTTTGAGGCCCTCATATATTCGGCGCAAGGAATAGTCTTCCAGAATGACATAGTGAGCTGAAGAAGTTGGCATATGGAGTACTGATGATCTTCAGGTTGACATATCCGTGCGAGCAAGCGTTCTCTTGCATGCATATAATAAAAAGTAAAGTTTGAAGTCAACTAACGAATAAAAATCTTGAGTCGTGCTTGAAACTTAAATCAACAAGCTATAAGCCAGATTTAATCAATCATTCAAAAGGCATGCAAAGCCAGTGCTCCCATTGATGTAACTATCTATATTTGTGTTTATACATATATATTATTCCGTATTTAAAGCCGTTTATTTTAAGTCAAAAATCAAATATATATAAGCAAAACTATAATACTGAAATGAAACTTTTTAGTGGCTCTTTAAAAACTGGGAAATTTTGTAAACTGTAACGTTTGGCTCTTCTGTTTGAATAGGTTACCGACCCCTGCCCTATCCTCGTTTGAGTAACTGCTCCATTTCTTTCTGAAGCATACAGATATAATACATGTCAGCAAGCTATGCTTTTTGGGAAACAATGCATCCCATAGGAAATCAGCACAGGAAATGACAAATCATGCCAGCAGAATGTTGTTATTTCCTATTTAACAGCCCCCTGTAACACTTGAATGTGCTATTTGAACACATACATTCCATTACAAAATCTTTTATTTTAGTCCCTTCTACCTGCCTTTACACTTTTGCCAGATATTTAACGAGCACTCTGTATATATATATATAATATATAAATATTATATAATATATAATGAATAATATATATTCATAGGCCAAAAGTCATGGGTTAGAAGCTTGCTAATAGGTCTCTTCCAGCCTTTAAAAGTGTTTCAGCAGTTAGTAAGTGGCATGGTGGTCCACAAATACTGCAGAATATCCCATAATTGTATTACATTGAATGAAATAGGATCCATTTAATAACTTACTAATGCATTCTATAAATGCTACAGAGAGTTTGTGTATGGAAACTGCAGCTGACAATGTCAATGGAATCTTCCTATAGCCATCTAGTTGTAAAGACAGATAGGTAGTAATGTTGCAATGTCTTGTTAAAAATTGAATACTCTTAAAGGGATACAGGTAATCTGAGATGTGAAGCCAAACCCTTTTATGGTTATGGAATTATGAATTAATCCAAAACACTACAAATCTATGAACATTGATGTCTTGTAGATTAATTCTCACATATAGTTTAAAAGTCAAAGAGAAATCACAGATAATAAAAATTTGTCTCTTAAGGGAACCCAGCCTACCAGCAAAGGGAGAAGGATAAGTAAACACACCATTCAGTTTCTTGCTGACGAAAGTTTCTAATTTCATGAAATTCTTAATTGCCAGAGCTTGTGAATTAGTTATATTTTGAACACCGATGTAATTACAAGTCTAAAAGTACAAGTAGCGATATTGTTTTGTGAGCACCTATAAAAGTATTACAGTTATTATAATTTTTATAGGCAGAATATAAAAAATAATACAAGGAAATAAACTTGTAAGGTATTAAAGGCATTCCTCGCTTGTGTCCTTAGCACCTACAACTAGCAATTGAAAGACCTTAGATTTGGTTCCCAGTGAAAATCCTGAGGACTGTAGACAAGCCCACATCATAATGTTATCGTCACTTTATTAGGCCAGTAATGTGGATTTTCCCTTTTTTTCATATAGAAGTAAAAGTGCAAGAGATTTATTTATAGGCATCTCTCCCATTTGTCCTTTTGGATGGCGTAGATCAACACAACCAGCTAGCAGAAGGCTAATTTTTATTACTTGAATGCATCAAACCACATAACAGCTATCTGCCTAGGTGAAGAGATGCTTTTACGAAGAAGTCTCTAAGGAAAACGCATATATTCACATTATTTTTTCCTTATTTAAAACTAATGCTTCTTGAATGCCCTCCACTCTTATCCTTCTAAATTCCAGCTTCTCCATTCTCTTCTGTTTCTAGGGCATCCAGTCTGAGGTTTATTGAATTAGATGTCTTAAAAATGTCTGTTAATGTATACATTTTGCTTCAAATAATATTAAAAAATGGTGGTTGAGTTTTTTCTGACTCGATGACTGCAGTAGCTATAACTGCAGGTTATATTTTGAATTAGATGTCCTGTGAAAATCATTTGCAACATTTCCATTGAACATCTAATTTCAAAATGTATTTGAATAGTTACTATAAACAAAGAACTGAAGGCCCTTTCAAGTTAGAATTGTCCTTGTGTATAAAAAGTATTATATTTGTTTTAATCTAACTGCAATTTTAATTTCTCGTCAAAAAATTTTCAATCACAGCTCATTTTCTTCTCTTTTATTATTTTTGAAACTTCCAAGTGAAAAATCAGTTTCTCCTTAACATAAATAATCATTTTCGAATTGATATTTCAAAATACGTCTGAACATTCTAAAAAATGTTTATTATGGCAGGCTGACTAGGATTATTATATCATGAGACACAAATGAAAACATGCTATCAAATTACAAATGATTTCAGATGTTGTGGTCACACTTTAAAAATCATAGAATTTTTTTCTTAATTTTCACAATAATCTTCAATAAATTCCATTAAATTCTTTGATTCTTAGTACCTTTCTGTGGCTGTAAACATTTATTTTGAAATAGTCCTTTAATATGAAAATTACAGTAAATATGAAAAAATTTAATATAGAATAAAATTCATGTTTATATTACCATATAGGTGGAAAAAATAAGCAGTGCTTCAGAAGCAAAGATTGAGCATTTAAAAAAATATGTCAGAACAGCTGGTATACGTGTGAACTCTTACCCAAAACTTTTTGAAAACTGTCAATCTGTAAAGTCAAAAGTTGAAAAGCTGATGGAACTGTTACAAAAAGAAGGTTTAAAAGGTAAGTAAATTTTAACTTTCCACTCCAATTTATTCTTTGACTTCAAGGATTCATATTTTAAAAGTGATTGATTAAATACATTACGGTACTTTTCTTTTTTAATAATAGCACATACTTTTTTAATTCATTAAAAGTTATCCCTTAAAAAAAACTATTGTATAATCAACTCGAAACTATGTTCTCACAGTGTATTTCTGCAAATTAAGAAAATGAGACTTTTAGTTCCCATTACAATATTTGTTGGATTTCTACTAGAATCTTTTTTTTTTTTTTTTTTTTTTTTTTTCCCCATTGTTCATTGATTTCATAAAGCTAACCAGTTACCACTTAAATATTCTGAAAAAGTACCATGCAGATCTTGAAAATCAAGCATATTTTAAAAAGTTGCTTATCTTTTAAATGATAATTTTCATTCAGTTTTATAGGGGGTTAAAAAAAAGGTGCCAATAGCATTTGTTATGCAAATCTTGAAAATCAAACATATTTAAAAGAAGATGCTTATCTTTTAAATTATCATTTTCATTCAATTTTATAGGGGGTTCAAAAGAAAGGTGCCAATAGAATTTGTTTCTTTAAATACTGATCCTAGATAATTTTGATATTATAAAGTTTCTCAAAACAAGAATAAAAAAAATCAAGTCTCCAAATAAGAAAACAGTCTAAACATTTAGTTGGGACAGTTCTCTAAATAAAAAATCTGATTTGCCTTGATGGAGTCAAATTTCCAATTAGTAAAATAATTATTATCTTTTAAAAAAGTTATAGAATTCAGGTTCCTTTCCTATATGAAATTAACAAATAAAACTGAAGAACAAAAGATGAACTGAGATTTAGGGAGAAATTACAAAATTAGTTTTGGCATTTAATGATTTTGTATCCTACAGGGGTGTTTGTGCTCCGGGGAAACCCCAGAATTCTGGGGATTTTGAACTTCGATACCCGGAAATTCGGGGGATCGTTGTTCAAAAGGAAGTAGAAATAATAATGAATTATTTATTTTGATCTGGGTAATTTTGTTTGCTTTGAAAGCAGAAAACGCAAGGTCAGTGTGTGTGGTGAAAACTTTTCCTTTCTTTCTCCAAAGGCAGTGATAATGCATGAAAAGGGGGAAAAACTTCTTTTTTGTTCTTTCCTTATTGCGAGTTATGACTCATTCCCCGGTTCTCGGACATTCTCTTCTGGATTCTTTTCGGCAAGTAGGCGCGGCAGAAAAAAAAGGGAGAGACTTTGTTCGACCAGATGTGCGATCACGTGACTCTGGGTTCAAAGGTCTTATCTCTCCTGGCGTGGCGCCAATAAGTAGAGAAGGGGGATTTTTCGCCGTATTAGCTATTTGTCATTGATCGCTTCTCAACTTTTTTTCTCCGCTGTGTAAAATTTTCGTTTCATTTATTGATGCACGTGTAAATTTTTCGTTTCGTTTATTGAAATATTTTTTTTATTTATGTACGCAAGAGAATTTCACTATGAAATTTCTCGATATAAATAGTGATATTATACAATTAGAAGAAGGTGTCCGGAATGCATTTAGGTGGAATTGGATTGAACGGAGAGATGGTAATGGGGATACCATCGGCACATGGTGCAAGAAAATAAATGTTGCTGGACAAGCATATTGTGTTTTTTGTAACTCACTGCTGAAGTATGGTGGGGAAGGATTCAAGGCTTTCACAAATCATTCTAAAACTGTGACGCACATAAAATATTCAAAGTGCATTAGACATTTCATTGATGACTTAAGTAAAGTAATTATGTAATTATTCTAATTCAAAAATACTGATGACTTACTGGAGACTGATGCTCGGCCATTGGATATAGTGACAAGAAAAGCACGCCAAGAGGTATTAATAACTTCGTTTATCGCCGAGAATTCTCTTTCTTTCAATGTAGCTCCCAATTTAATTGAACTCTGCAAACAGTTGAGCCGCGATCAGACAGGCACTAAAACTCGTTGGAAATGTCCAGGACTACTGCATGTTATAAGATGAAATATGGGCTCGCAAAAACTATTAAGGAAAATATCATTAAAACTTTAAAGGAGACTCCATTTTCTCTTTCTCTAAATTTGGATGAAAGTACTAGCAATGCTCAAGAAAGTATACTGGCAATATTGGTGCAGTTTTATGACAACAATCAAAATGAAGTTGTAGTTCATCATTTTGCATCTCTAAAGATGGAATCTTGCAATTCAGAAGCTGTTTTTAAAGCAGTTGTTATAATTATTGAAGATAATAATATTCCATGGGCAAACTTATTAATTAGTGTATTAATGGACTCATGTAACACCATGCGTGGAAAAAAAAAAAGGGTGTTGAAACCAGACTACGATCAAACAAAGCACCCCACTTATTAGATATTGATGGTGACACATGTCACACAGCTAATAACTGTGCAAAAAAAATTTGCTTCATGTTTTGATAGATACTTAGAAGATTTGTTTGATGACATCTATTTTGATATGAAAAGCTGCAGTAAAAGAGAAAATTTTTTCAAAATCTGTGAATCCCTTGCCATTAAAAAACTTAAGCCCTTGAAGAGACCAGACCATAGGTGGGTGTACATTTTATGTGTTTTAGAAAGAATCAAAGATCTGTGGGATGCTCTTAATTCATTTTATTTTCACTACTTGGATAAAACTGATAAAGGGGATTATTTTTCTTATGTTGAAACTGTATACAATAAAAGAAATATTTCTGCAGCTCAGAAAAAAATTGTTGAAGGGGTGTATTCTTGCTTGCATTCCCAACAACTCACAAAGGATGCTTTAGCTCGAAAAAAAAAGAATACTAAATGCATGGGCGTAACTAGAGGGGAGCATCTGCCCCCGGGCACAGAATCCAAGGGGCGCCAAACTGATGTTATTTTAGAATTAAATGTTTTCATCCTTGGCAAAGGGGGCACGAAACTTTGTCCCTGGGCATGAAAACCCTGCTATATAAATGGGTTATTTTTATGCAAAACAAAACTTTATTGCATATGGCATATATTCAGCAGTATTACCAGAGTTCAACACATATATTAAATTATTTGAAACAAAAAAAACCAATGCTTCATTTAATACATTCCAGTATTTATAAATTGATGGCAAAAATTTTTTCTCTTTTTTTATGAAGCCAGAAAATATAGAGTGCACATCTTATAATGATTTATTAAAGGTTGATGTCACAAATCCAGAATTCCATCTACCTAGCAAAGTAATATTTACTGGTGCAGAAGCTTTCACTCTCCTGAAGAAATTATCAAAAAATCATCCAATAGCAAAAGAATTCCAAATTTCTCTGATGAAAGCTTATACTAATACAGCACAGCATATGAAACAGAAATTACCCCTTAAAAATTCATATCTAATTAGTTTTACAGCATTAGATCCAGAGCTAAGAGGTAAAACCAGTACAATATTAGCTTTTGAAAAATTATCATCTTTTATGTCCCATATTTTTAGTGATAATGAAAAGTCAAAAGTAGAAGCTGAAATAAGTTATACCAGAGTGATATTGATATCACCAAAGAAATGCTCTACACATCTGATGAAAGTGGAAATCAAGTCAAGTGTACAATTGATAAATATTGGTCTAAAGTTTTTAATTTAAAAGATGATTTCACAACTGATTATAAGTATCCTACATTGGCTAAGTTGGTCAAAGCCTGCCTTAGCTGCTTCCATAGATGCAGTGCAGACTATTAAATATGATTTAATGGCTTCTAAAGAAACCTCATGTGAAAAATATGGCTCAAAAATCCAATGACTGATCCAATTCACAAAAATGTCTTACTGAATATGAACAGAAGTTGGAAAACATATCAGGAGGACTTAAAAACATGTATTTCAGATGAGTCACCTATAAAAGTCTCTGAAAAACCTTCTATATTAGCAGAAAAGCAAACTGCTTCTACCTCTGCATGTGCAGTTCTCGAGGAAATTTCTTCAACTGTAAATGAGAAAAATAAAAGTCAACCTTCCTGCAATTATGAAGTTCACCACAAAAGAAAGACAAGCCCACAAACATCAGAAAATAAAAAAAGCAGCAGAAATTAGATAATTTTTTTAAAGAATTAATTCAGGTAATTTAAAATATTTACATAAAATGTAGTAGTTTATATATTTGAAAATTTATGGTTATTAATTTTGCAAAACAAAAGTAATTCATTGAACTTTTATAATTTGGTCATTCAATACTTCATAATTGTAATTTTTCATTTCTCTCCCCCCCCCTTCTCGAAATTCCAAAATGTCGGTAGTAAGTCCGTAAAAGTTTCAGGGGATTTTTTGGGGTCCCACAAACACCCCTGATTCTATAACATATAGTACTTTTGAATTTGTAGTTGGTGTCATGAAATATTAATTATTCATATCTGCAAATACTGTATATAAAGATATGAAACCTTTTTTGTATGTCACAGATATATAACTACTACTTTCATTCCCCTTTTCCCTATATGTAGAGCAATATATAAAATGTAAATTCTACACTTACTATATTGTCACATCTATAGTATATATTGTATTTTCTAATAGTCTTTTTATTCTCCTTCTCATTAATTACTAAAATCAAACAAATATCAAATTCATGTTTGTCAGAGGCAATTCTGATTAGCTAAGTAGTTTCATTTAGTATTCCATTATCACATTATGAATATTGATGCATAAAATGTTCTTCTCTTACATTTGTAAAATTTTAATGCATTGAATGTTATGCAAGAATTATTCCAGATTCTTGTCATTTTGAATAATTTGGTCTAACCTGTATCCAAAGGGCTGAATTCATGAAACACAAATGTGTTCTTGGTTCCATATATTTTTGGAACTGAAATATTTAGCTGCATGAAGTTTTTGTTAATTCAGTAAAAAGCATAATGCTAAAAAATTATCTTTCTACTGGAAACTCACATTGGGAATAATTACTGAAAAACTGATAAATTAAAAGAAAAATTATGATTCACTATTTTTACTCCTTTGTATGGCTTATGTTTCCTAATCATATTAAATTAATTTTTCACTTCTATAACTCGTGAGTTTACCTTAGTTCTCCATGAAGGCATTCTATCCAAACTGATTCTTGCAAATTGCAGGTCGCCCAACTCTAGAAAAATGTAAGAAGTTGAAGAAGAAAATAGAAACAAAAAAGGAAATAGCAGAACTGGATGTTACAAACATTCTCCAGTCACAAGGTATATTATATTCACATGCATATATCATTTTTAAATTAATGCATTATTTTAAAAGGCATAATTAATTTATTAATATAATTTTTAAGGCCGTCCCAAAAGAGGTTTGTCTTCAAATAACTCAAGACAAATAAAAAAGAGTCCAACACCATTAAAGAATTTCTCACGCTTACAAGACATAGTTGATAGTGAAGAAAGTGATTAAACATTTTTTATGCAGATTTTATACCCTTTTCATCCCATATTTTATTTTAAATGTGTTGTAAATATTGTGTATGTTTTTGTTCACAAGTTAGAATTTTGTAATAGAACTTCTTACTTTCATCTCTAAGAGTTTGTAAAAATTAAAGAATTTTTGAAAAATTTTGATTGTTAAACTTTTTATTTGTACATTAATAACACAGCTGTCAGACTTGTCAAATGAAACTTGAAATTTGACAGTAATCTGACTTGATACATTTTAATTTGGAAGTATTGTATATAACAAAGTCATCCAAATATGCATCTACAACACATTGCAATATACATAAATGCTTTTACTGTAAGCACAAACTGTACATAGTAAAATCAACACAACAGCTGCTAAAAATATATAAAAATAAATTTGTATATTTATGTATACATATATGTATGTATATACACACATTCTATGAGCATATGTATTCAGAACAGTGAGACTTGATTGCAACATGCAGGTCTGTCAAATACGTATTTGATTTCCTAACTTAAATTCTATGTTGGAATTTTTTTGTATTATGAAGAGTAAATGTTATATATATATATCTACAGAAGGAAGGATATAGTTAGCAGTGGCCTCAGTAGGGAAATATATCGAATTCATATATTGAAATATTCCTAACAAAATTTAGTTCATAAGCATTTCACCACAATCACCTAATCAAAGGTCCAATGACCTTAAATCATTTTCTGTGCAGTTTAAACATTTAGATACCATTTTGATCACTTAATAGTAGTGATATAGTTTCTTTAGCATGTAATAAAAACAATTTGTTAACGCATGAGTAAATACTAAGTTATATTTCTCTTTTATTCATTGTTCACAAAGCCAGTAAGAATAATTCAACGAAAAGCATAGTGAAGGAAATCCCTTTCCTATAAGCAAACTCATATATGAGGAATAATTGCTGAAAAAATGATGAATCGAAAGAAATAATTTTATTTTTTCATTGCTTTACGTAGCATGTTTCTAATTCTATAAAAAATAATTTTCACTTATTTTCAATTAAATATAACAAAATTTCAATTATAGAAAATTATTACAAAAATCGATTTAAACTTACTGGCTTGAGTTATCACAGTAAATATGTTTGCAGTAGGGGTGAGCTGAGGATATGAGACTTCACTACTATATGGAATAAATATCCAAAATTTTTAATAATAAACTATCTTATCATAATAAAGTAATGGAAGTTACATGAAGTTTTATTATTAAATTTATAAATAGCAAGAACTGGAAAACTATTGTAAATATTTAAAAATTATACATGCAAAAGTAAATTTGCATGTATAATTTTAATGAGATACCAAATATATATGAAAGATAATTAGAGTATTAAAATGTAAAAACTATCAGCAAATTTATCTTAAAATGACATTTTCTGAGGAACATTCAAATATAAAGAGTTTTCATGCAGCATTCCTACAAAGAGTTTAATGTAATCATAATTTACAGCATGTCTAAATTGAATTTCTTTTTATCATAATCAGTTAAATTGTAATCAAAAGGTTGGCAGGAGGTTCACAATATTATCGAGCAGTAAATCATTGGATTGTTGACTTGTGAAGGTGTCATTTCATCTCAGATTTATTCAAGACAAAAATCAGTTTAGAGGTGAGTGTTTTTTTGATAATGAATCTTTCACTCACTGGCCCACTTTAAAAATTTTTATGAGTGAAAAAGGTTCGATGAGTACATTATTGATGCTATGCAATAATACCAATATGAAAATAAAATGGTTTATTCTTCTAGAATCTAGAAACCTCCTGGGCACTGAAACCACTGCAATATGTTCTGCAGCGGCAGGTGACGAAATAAAAAACAATGTGTAAGTCTTTTCATTGCATTTAATAAGTAAAGTTTTTTGATAAAGTCATACTGATATTTGAATGGCCTCTTATCTTCATGCTTTATTAATGTGATGACGATTGTGAAAAGTCTTACTCAGCTCACCTTTTCTTTTACTAATATTAAAAAAAATTTTTTTTTTAATCAATATCACAAAAAGTTCCACATACAGTTTCATTAACTAGCAATTTGTTCTATTCTTTTAATACCTTTATATATTGACATCTTTTCATACAGGATTCATTTTCATGCCCCATTCCCCAAATCAAAACAGCGATTTAAATAGTTTTAATTACACTGTAAAATATGTTTTATTTTCTTTGTTCATTACCCATTACAGTTGTAAAAAATGGTGATTGTTTCAGAGAATTATGTTCCAAACTACTCCAAGTAAGAATCAAATATTTTACAACTACTACTATTCAAAATATTGTAAAATTTCTCCTATTTCACATTATTAGGATCTCAGTACAAGTTGTGAAATGCATAATACATGCAAATGAAAGAATAAAATCTGAATGCATTGAAAATAATACATGAGACAGATTTAAGAAATGATTTTTAAATACATTGTTTCGATTTCTATTTGTGCCCTTGAATAATAAATAAAAAATACATAGTTCTATATATAACATGTGATTCACTTAGATATTTAATCTAATAATGTTAAGTAATATCTGTTTATAAACATCTGTTTATAAACATTTCATAGTCAGATTACACTGGATATATTTTTTGAAATTCTTTCAGGTCACTACTATGGCTTTATTCTAAATTTTAATGAATAAAAGAAGCAGCATTTTTTTTTAACATTTTGTCAGTCATTTGAAGTATTTAATTATTGCTCTAAAAAGTTTTCTTGAAAAAGCTGGAATCGAGATGACTCTAACAAATAGATACTCTTATCAGTTAACTTGTTAATTGACCAAAACATGGCTATAATTTATTAAAATATTATTTTAATGTATGCATTATAAATGACTAAATTTTTAAAATGTAAAATACAAATTTATGAATACAGTAACCGATTCATTTATAATCTTATTAATTAATCAATTAATAACAATTTACAGTTGTTAATGAAAATTATGCCAACACAGCAAATTTTTATCTATTATCATATGGAAATATTGTACAATTAACTGCATAAAATGTAAATTTGATTATAACGTAAATTTTCTGTGGGGAAGACTAAAAGATAGTAATGCCAAAAATATTATATTTAAGAAAAACCTTATTACAAAGATAAAGCATGAGAGTTTTTATATTTTTTTGTAAATCAATGTTTCTGTAATTAATGTTGAACTTTATAAAATTTCCAATTTTGAGAAATTTATTTATTTGTTCTCCATGTTTCAAGAGCTCGGTCAGTCTATTGATCTATAAGACGATAAACTTTTCTGATATGTGAAAGGATCATTACATGAACATCAACTACAACTATTTTTAAATGATCATCGCAATGACATCATAAGAGGCAACAGTCCATGTTCAGAATATGAATAAGTTTTCTAAAAGTTCAACAAAATGTATTTTCATGCGTGCATAGTAAGATGAAAAATTCTAACAAACATTAAAATATTTGGAAAAAATTGTGCTATAAAATTCTATAATTAGAAGCTATGAATATATTTTTACTAGCATTTTGTGTATAAGATATTATGCACAAAATGCTAGTATTTAGTTTCTTTTTAAACAGTTCAGTTCATTATTTATGAGTAGTTATTGATTATAAAGATACACTGATATACAAGATTCATCAGTATACTCCTTCTAATTTCTTCTGATTCAGTGTCACTTTCCATATAAAATTATAAATATAAAAGAATCAGTTGTTCAAATGAAACTCTGATGTAATTCATTATTGCTTTCCAGTTTTTAAATTTTAAATAATCATTAAATATTAAATAACAAGAAAAGCCATTAAAATATAAACACTGTGGTATATATTACTTAAATATTTGGCTCTGAAAACAGTGTTTTGATGAGACAAAACATTACACATATTTTGCATAATTATTCTAAATATTATTAAACTTAAACAATGAAAGCATTTGTATCAATTTTTTATCATTAAGAATTGCTGCAAAAATTATTTTTTTAATATATTTAAAAACTCATTTCTTTATAAAATGGTAATTTCAATCTAAGTTTTATTTTTAATTAACGTATTTGTTAACTGAGCAATATTTATGTAATGAAGCATTTCACTTTCTTTAAAAGATTATTCATTCAAGAGTCCTATTATCCAAATGGAAGCACATTTTCTGAGCTTTGTGGCTTAGAGCATTCAATTAATGTGGTCACAGTTCATGTGTCTTGAATTACTTACACAGAGGCATGACTGCTATTGGAACGTATTTCAGCTGTCAAAACAGTATCCACTTTATCTCCTTGAGAAGCTAATCTCACTTCACTATAAAATACTGGTGACTGGACCAGTTTTCCAGTATACTGTCTCCATGCTTTTTGAATCACAAAAGCGCAGTGATTTTGCCTTTGTCTCCACAAAGAACTACCTATTTTCTTAAGTGTTTTACCCTTATTATCAAGAAGTCCAGGAATACTATCAGCTACCTCAAGCAGATGGGCCTTGTGACTCATAAAATCACGTGTCAAAGCATCCATAACATCAGCATAAAACACTAAATCTCCCTCATATATTGGAATGTTGAGTGTTGCAATAAGAAAACGGTTTGGTTTTCCAAAATGCAGAGGCTCTTCTAAAGCATCTAACAGATCTGGCAAATGGCCAAACTTGATGATGCCTCGAGCATTCATATCAAATTTTTGCCACACTTCTGCAAACATTTCATAATCTTCACATAACAGTATATTTTCATATTCATACATAGCTGTATCAAAACTATCTAGTATTATAATTAAATGTGTTTTTATAATTATGTAATATACAATAATTATGTAAGAGACTATAAAAATGATTGCGGATGTTGAATTTTTTCCAGATTCACATAAACACTGCAAAACATCAATCCAACCTGCTAAAGTAGAAAGCTGGAAAAGCAAAAGCATAGCTTTTGGGAATGTTCCAAAGCTAAGTTCACCACTAATGTCCCACAACTGCTTTATATTGTGAAATAAATATACACCAAAAATAGCAAAAATAAACATAGCAATAAACTGTATAATTACTACAGTCAGAAATGCTGGAATGGATGAATATAAGCTGAACATTAGTGGAAGCATTCCTCTTGCATATCTTCTCAGATATCTTCGACATTTTATGAATCTTATCAAACGCAGCATTGCGGGTAACATAGGAGAAGGGAAAAGTTCTTCAAATAATGCTCCTGTAAAAACAATATGTTTGTTATTCATGACTTTAATAATTTAAAGAATATTTTATTTTATTAAAAAAAAGAAAATTATTATACATTATTTCAAAAGGCTTGGGTATGATTTTACTGTAGCTAAGCAATACAGAAGAGCAGAACAAATTGGATGAAAATGTTGCTGTTGTTTCTACATTGGACTTATGAAAAAGTCTTTTTTTTTCATGAAATAACCATAGAATATACAAATTTTAGAAAACAGAAATTTTTATCATTACAGAGTCAAACTTTTTTATTACTATTTTTTATCATGCAGTAGATGAGGCCAAAGAATAGTTAATAACAAAATGGCATTGATGAAAGACAAAGTTGTGTTTTGTGGCATCATGACACTAAATCACCCATCAACGATAGTTTAAATGTTTGTATGGATGCAGTTCTCCAGATGTTAAGAGCATCAGGAATCAGTATGGAAAATTTAAAAGAAACTGACCAGAAGTGGCAGGCTTATGAGTAAAGATTGTTAACAACATTCGTGAATCAGACACAGGACATATCAAGGACCAAATCTTTGCATTTCACTTTGTAATATTGATACTTTGAAGGCCAGAATAGCAGATACTGTGTTACATATTGCAGAGTAGGCACTGGGAATTGGAAAACTTGGTGTTTTCCAAGCAACACTGAAATTTACTAAATGCAATACTGTTCGTATTTAAAAAAAAAAAAAAAAAAAAGTTACTCCAGCTACGATTTCAAAACAAGAAAGTATGTTTAATTATAATAATTTTCATGCAATATATATTTAATATATTGCATGAAAATATAATTACCCTATATATGTAATGACAAAGGACATTAGGATTTATCTGCTTATATGGAAAACTTTTAGAAGAAACTAACTCATATTTATCAGCTATTTGTCTCTCCTATTCAGTGTAATAATTAATTTCTGCAATCTGCATGCTAAGCAAATTAACTATATCTTTGGATTCATTTATGTTTTATGAAGATATGAAATTCAGACTTATTTCAATGTACACTGCTTACTTTCAAAGAAATTTCTGAACTGAGAAAAAGTCAGCAGTGAATTCCAAACTCCACCAATGGAATGAGCTTTACATAGCATGATAATGATAAAATGCTTTTGTGTCTTTAAGTAAGATTACACTATGTTTTAAGCAAGATGAATCGACTTTTATAATCCAAAATTTGTTAGTCAGACTAAACATTGTACGAAAACTGTTGCTTCATCATTATTAACTGAATGAAATTCTTTATCCCATTACCTCATTCAGGAAAAACATAAAAAAATGCCATTTTGTTTTTAACATTTTATTTTATAAAACTGATTTTATCTCTCACAGTTAAGTAAAAAAAGCAACATGATTATTAAATTTAAATTAGTTGTTATTATTTATAACAATTTGTTATAAATGTTATTGTTGTTATTATTTATATTATTTAGCCTTTATTTAGCAACTCTCTAAGGTGTCACTTTCAGCAGAAAATTTTATCTGCAACTGGGAAAGAAATTTTCAAAATTCTACAACTCCAGCATAATATCATTAGCATCCAAATCTAATCAAATAATCCACTAGGTTATTACTAAAATAACAAGATCATTAACTGTGATTCTAAGACAAAGGAATATTTTGCAATACATTGTTACCAGTTTGTTTGAAGGCATATTAAGATAGTAGATGCATGTCTGTATTTATGTCACTCAGCTAGAGATGGCTATTATAATTAGTAGAAGTTACACATTTACATATACATGGTTTTAAACAGAGTAATTATTCTATGTAGTATAATAAACCCTTTCCTCTCGTTATAAAATTTCACTTACCATATACACATTTATAAGATCCTACAAAATTCTAGAACAAGAATACAGTCAAAAGTCTTTAATCCGGATTCGTCGGGACTTCAGCGATTCCGGATTATAGATCATCAATTTAAATCTGGTAAGATGGCATGCAGAAATTATAAAATTAAAAATATGAAACCGTAATTTATAAAATAATGAGCAATTATGATCTAAAGGGTATCAAAACTTACCAAAAAAGAAGCTTAATATTTCTTTGTTTACTTTATTAAACATTTCTTTCAACGTGCGCATGCGTAAAGCATACCTTACGCATAGCCGAAATTTAGAAAATTGCAACCAGAAAACTATTTGATTGTATTCGTGATATTTATAATGACAAGGAATTTGATTAAATCATATCAAAGACGGAGTACATCGAGATTAAATACTACATTTAGTAAGGAATTATAAGCGGAATAAAATAAGAAATCTTCCCTGAAGATACGATAGTGTTGACAGACCAACTTCCAGTTCATTGCCGCGCAACGTCCCCCCCCCGCGCCAGAGCAGCGTGAAATTGATAAACAGATTTCGGAACGGGTTAGATAAACAAGATATGTTTTATCCATTTTTTGTAGCAATTCGTTTTTTGTTTGATGGACATCGAAACATACTTTCATTTTTAGATCCTTGGGAGCTCCAGCATCGGAAATTCTATTTAACATAATCGAAAGTTCAAGCTTATGGTTTATAAATTGCTCTTACAGTCTGCAAAAATAATAAGCCGGATCCAATTCGAAGATTAAGGAACATGCAATCATCAACATTAACTGAAATAGATAATTAGATAATTTTAGCTTATACCATCTGTTATACATTAAACGTGCACGCGAAAACGTATTCTGCACTTGCGCAGACGCATATGCGCAGTCGTAAATGTCTTGCACCCACGCGTAAAATGTTTATGCGCATGCGTCGACATGTCCGAATTAACGACTTTTGACTGTATAACAAAAAAATGAAGTAATTTTTATAAGTAAATGCAGTACATAAGCAAACAAACAAATTATAGCAAGATTTCCTAAAAATTTAATTTAATACTTATCTCAGCTATATATATATGTAAGATAAAAATATATGAATCAAAATTATAGATTAAACTATAAAACATTAATTCTTCCTCTTTATTCTAAAATCGTAATAACTTCTTTCACATTATCTTGGATTTATCACAAACGAGATTTGAAGAGCTGAATTAAATTTTCCATTGAGTTTTCAGCTGCAGAAACTATCCTACTAGCTTTATTGTCATAATAAGAGCACAAGAAAAAAGACGGAGCAGTTCGATCTGTGCTTAGATTCATATTGAAGAAGAATTTTGATTGCGTTATTTTAAAGAACTTGGCAAGAGGGCAGTTTTTTATTCCATTTTTTATTTCCATTGATATTTGTGGCCACAATCACTTGGCACTCTAGTCGGGCCTTTCCACGAAGATTTACATTTTGATATTGTTGGGATAGCAAGCAAGCCAGCGAATTATATCTTAGCAGAGTAAAGAGCAAAGCTGAAGTGCGTAATTTATGAAAGATGGAAGCACGCGAAGAGAAAGTTTTGCTTTACAAGGTCAGTTTCAGTTCTTATTATTACGTCATCGGAGTGCGCCAATATAGAGTGATCTAGAAATGACGCAATGCAAAGAAGTTATTACGATTTTAGAATAAAGAGGAAGAATTATGTTTTATATTTAATCTATATTTTGATTCATATATTTTATCTTACATATTCCCCCCTTCAAAAAGAAAAAGGCGAGACAGAGAACCTTTTTAAAGAGAGAGTTAAAGCACTAGCAAATAAAAAAAAAAAAAAAAATCATAAAATTTTGATTCTATAAAGTATAACTTATAAATATCATTTTTTTAAAATAAATTTTAATTTTTAGAGTCTATTGCATTTTTCAGCATTTCAGTCCAAAAGTCTTTTTGGGTTTGAGAGTTCACATAATCATATTATTCAGGGAATGTTCTTGTTATTATAATATATATATACACTGCAGGGGTTATTTTTAAGGAAAACCCTTCCGTATATAACATTACACTATTAATCACATTTATTTTAATTTATATAAATATTACACTATTAATCACAATTTATTTTAATTTGGCATTATTTTAACTATAATTCATTGTAAAATTTTTCTAACTTTTATAATTCAATAGAATTAATAAAGCTTACCTGAAATACAAAGTGCAAGTACAATCACATCAAAATGATTCCACACACTTAAAAAAAAGTAATGACGGAAAGCAAAAAGTTTCAATAAACATTCTATGGAAAATATCACAATGAAAAAAATGTTAAGTTCCGTCATAGCTAGAGCAAACATTTCAGATGGATCAGGATCATACATATCCAAAGCAATAAGCAACATATGTAGCCCAATAAATACAAAGCCAGCAATCTCAAAATTATCACTCATTACCATCCGATAAAGGAATGCCTGGAAATGCACCTAAATAGAATAGAAGACGATGTGTAGCATTTTTAATAAAACTATATGCATGCAGAATCTGTGTAAAGCATTAAAATTTTTTTCTAGTTCTATTTTAAATTGCATTGCTATTTACCTTAGGAGGTGGAACAGCCTTTCTTAACTTTGTTTTTTCCATTTTTTTAATTGCTGCTTTATAAAGTTTTTTTGTTTTAGGATTTGGACTTTTTTCAATATCTAAGGAAAAAATTAGAAGAATTTAAACATTCACACATTGCCTCTTTATATACAGTTTAAATATTTACACAGAATTATCATATTAATTAAACTATAAATAAAAAAACAATATTAATATAATACCTCTTTTTTGCTCATTGAAATAACAGCAAGTTATGCCAACAAAAAAATTAAGTGTGAGAAAGGTGCTGAACATGATGAATATTGGGAAAAAGGTTGCAGTATATACTTCATTTTTAATTTTAGTTGCCTAGGAAAAAGAAATAAAACATATGTATAGCACACATCAGTTACACTAATAACACACACTTATATACATACACATAAAATAAATTACTTACTTCATTGCTGTTATCCATTATATCAGTGACTAAATTTATCCAGTTTTGCAATGTTGCCTGAAAATTTTAATTAAAAAGCGATAAATGCCAAAAAATAATTAAACATAAATCAGCATTATCATTTGTATTTATACAATGCAATAATTAAAATCACTCAGTTGTTTCACCAATTATAAAGATATATAACATGCATCCAATATAAGGTAATGCAAAAGACAGTTTAACTTTGTTATTAACTAACAGATTGTACAAACTTCACGTTATTGGGGTGACTCTTCTTTATTACAAAGATACTATTAATGCAGTCCCAGCTATGACCGATGCATTACCATTGATGATATGAGTATGATTACTGAACTCAATTCTCAAATTTCTTTAGAAAAATTCAGATATGCCCTATTTACCGAATTGTTTACAACCACTTCCTCTCATGTACATTAGCAAATCATTGTTCCATACTGTCCTTTACTGTACCAAAGATACAGATATCTGAAACTCAAGATCTGGATTAGATACTGGATGAGCAGTACAATGGCAGCAATATTCAGCTCAATTTGTGAATTACCCAAGTTGTCAGAGTCGTATGCAACTGAACATCAGGATAGTTAAAATAGATAATATTTAGGTTATTGTTTTCCTTTTTATTTCTAATCACTTTCCAGAGCTCCTGGAGTGTCTGAATATACTAGTTGCAGGTCACAATGCAGTCATGTTCTAAGAAATCAAAGAAACTAATGCCCTTATCATCTCAGAAAGAGCTGTTATGAAATTCCGTACGGATGCTGAATCTTGAACTTATTTCAGTCTTACAAGAGAGCTGATAACATTACACTGAATCTTGATCTAAGGATCATAAAGGTATGCTTGGGAATCATCTCATGCTACAAAATTAGAAAAAAAGAAAATCTTTGCTTCCAATAGATCTTTGTGTCATCTGTTGGTAGTGCCAGATGCTTCTAACAGATGACAGCAAATGACTACACTTTCTTCCTTCATACTGAATGCCAGTCGCCGAGGTACCCACTCTGCACACGTCTTAGAATTTTCTGTAATGCATTATAATCACAGCTGATTTCTGCAGAAAACTCATGGATTATCCATCTGAATCAGTTTGGTCTACCACTGAGGATTTCTGGTTGTTGATGGCTTACTATTGCATGATTTGTCTTCAATGTTTCATCCTTTCTAAACTTCCTCATCTATTTATACATATAATTCTTTTCAATAGTATTATTACCATAAACATCTAATAACCTTATGTGGATGCTTAACAGATTATAATCCTTCTTTTTTTTTTTTTTTTTTTTTTTTTTTTTCAGAAAATCGATGATTTTTTGCATTCCATTACTATTATTATTTATTATTCCAAATTTTTTGTATTCCATTATTATTTGCAAAGAAGAAAATGATTATTATGTGCCTGCACACAGGAAGAATCACTCCAAACATATGTGCAGTTTAGAAGATCTGTTAAAAAAAATTTATTAAGCAAAATTTTGTGTTACTTTTAGTATGATCATTATATTAATAAATACATTAATAATAAATATTTTTTAAATATGATAAACCTTAAGTTTACATTTACCTTTACAGTAAATTAAAATAGTGGTTTTAGATTTTACATATTATTTGCATCCCAAATTAACATGTAAAACCTAAAATCATCTGCACTTCAATCGATGCACCATTTGAATTGAAAAAATGCTTAATGGAAATAACATTCTAACACAGAAAAAGATAAAACATGACAATAAATGTAGAGAATCAATAGTATATATAATAAGTAAAATCTTCTTTAAAAAAAACTTAACACACACATAAAAATGCATTTATACATGATTTTTATGTAGGCATAAAATACTGTAATAGTTACATGTAAACTATAAAGTACAATCCTCCAAATAATAAACCTGATTTTGAAAGGAATATACTTGACTAGAACAGTAAACTCGGGATGCCCACTCAACTCAGGAGTTGGTAGCATTGTTAAATATCTTATTGATTCAAATCCTATTAATTTCTTCAACTATCTCTTGGGGAGGGTGTGTCTCATCCTAATTTGTTTTTGGCTCATCTGGCTTTGTTGCATTAGAATACAGCATGATCTAATCGATAGTCGGGGTGGTGCTGGACATAAAATACTTTTTACCAGTATTATCGGATTTGGTTCTCTCTATAGGGAGCTTCACCGGGTTTTTTGGTACCTTAAAAGCAAACTGGACTAACTATGAGGCCCTCAATGATGAACATATTACTATTACTGGCTCTCTGATTTTGCCAAATCTTGAATTTACTTAAAACATTTTTCACTTGCAGTTTTAAATTGCCTGTTTTGAGTTGCCTCTCTTTGTGTGCCAAGAGGACAACAAAAGAAATGCACTTCTTTTTGGAATGAAAATCTACAGAAAGTTAACAATGACAGAGATAAAGCTCGACAGAGGGTTCATAAAACTGGACTTCGAAGGACTGTATAGCTAAGGCATAGGCTATTTTAATATCAAATCTAAGCATTCCACATTTAAAAACTTTTTGGAAGGACTGAATTTTAGAAGAGATGGCATAAGGGCTCACAGATTTTGATCTCAGATAAAGAATTAAAAAATCAAAAGAAATGAACCTATTAAAATACGTACCAAAGAATTTACTACTGAGAAAGACTTCTCAAATGCCTTTCGTAGGCACTATGCTAAAATTAGTATTTTTTTAACCAATGGCTGGCACTTGCCTATAACAGCATTGGCCACTACTAAGGCATGGAATCACCTAATAGGCCGCTACCGCTATCTTCCTGTGAAGGGACAGACAATTTTACATCCATGCCTTCTCCGGGATTCAAACCCGGGCCATTGGGAATCGCTGTCAGGTATCCCTAACCACTATATTGTCTGGGCAGCAACTTAATAATTTCAAACCTACTATTAAAATAAAGAAAAATGAAGTGAGACCTATATAAGGCAAAAATACATCAAGGTCTTTTTAATGCTGATTTCAGTATGGAATAGCTGAAAAATGGTCTTGGTACTTTAGTGAAGGAAAAGAGTGCAGGCCCTGGCAGAATTTTACCTGAATTCCTAAACTTGGAAATTCTGCAAAACTTGTATTACTGAAGTTTATAAACCAAACTTGGAGAAACGGTTTGAAAAGTGCCTGGAGAAAGGCTATGATAATACCAATTCTCAAATCTGCAGAGAATTTGGACAGTTATCAGCAGATTTCTCTTACAAAGATTTATGTAATTTAACTGAAAGATTGGTTGCTAAAAAATTGCTGTTTGTGCTGCTAAAAAATTGCTGTACGAAGCTGGTGTGATTTCTGAAAGGTGGGCAGGTTTTCGAAAACATAGATGTATTGCTGAACAAACAGTTTTCTTATCTCAAGAGATAAAGGATGGCTTTCAGAGAAAGAAAAATACCCTTGCTGTATTCATAGATTTCAAAATTGCTTTTGATAAAATTTGGATAGTTGGATTGCTTAAAATACTGATTTCCTGTGACATTTCTGGCAACTTATATAATGGATTAAGAGTTTTTTTGACCAGCAATTTACAAGTATTAAATATGGTCAAAATGTGTCAGATTATCGATAAACATTACAAGGTTTACCTTAGGGAGCAGTACTGAGTCCTATTCTTTTTAATGCTATGATAAACAATTTAATTGACACTATTTTTAGATCTATCCCAGGCATTAATATTTTGTTATGTGCTGATTATATGGTGATGAATGCTAATGGATCTGACATTTTTGGCCTGAAGAGTGTCTTACAACAGGCCTGTTACATGTTCTTAACACCTGAACTCATGAAAATAATATGGTAGTAAAACACGGAAAAAACTGCTTTCCAGTCGTTCTCCCTTAGTACCAAATACCATGACATTCACCTTCATTATAATAATAATGATCTAAACATCCATCATTGCCTCCTATGAAGGAACAGGCAGTTACAACTATGCGTTGTCCAAGGTTGTTATCATAAATCTCCATTTATGTTGAAATTAAAGAAAAAAATTCAATGATGACAGCATATCAATTTGAAGAGCTGTTTTGAAAAACCGTAAGAAGAGTCCTACAAATTGCCCTTTCTGTTATCAGGTGAAAATTTGCTTTTCAATTTCATTGCATATTTTTTTGTTACATGTAAACTGAGTAACATATCAGTAAAGTTCTCATCAGATTTCATTGCATTTTCTTTCAAAAAATTGAGAGCGATGAGTACTGTAGTAGGCGAACCTTTAATTTTGCACACCATTTACAAAACCTAAATAAATGAGCCTAGTTAAATAAATTAACATCAAGAATTTCTTTCACATAGTTAATAAAGAAACAAATCAATTCATTAAAATATTTATATTTAATGAAATATTTTAGACAGATAAGTTCAAAAGCACCTACCACTTGTAGAAGTGCAATATATGCATTTCCTATAGAATTAAAATTGACTCGTGAATTTTTAAATGTTCCATTATGAAGACGGCATAACTGCTCCGAGTAAATACCAAGGATGTTGTCATCAGTATCCACACATTGATGCATCTTGTTCATAAACATTGCAGATCCCAAAATGGCAAACACAAGCCACAGCAGGAAAACAAAGATGAAAACCAGAACATACGAAGGTATAGCATGTGTCAGAGACTTCAGTACAAACTGGGAAAAAATACATATATGAAATTTGTAACAGAAACTATTGTTAAAAGAAAATATTGTCTGAAAATTAATATTCTCAAATTCAAGCATGATTAAAAATGCTATTTTACAAGAATGAATACTTTAAAATTTTATTTATTTTGACATGAATATTGTTTATAAAATAGTATAAGATATACTGAAAAGAGCCCCCAAAAATACGAAAATATTTGAAATTATATTATCATGTCATAATTTTAGTTGTAAATTCATAAGTTTAATGTAATTAAACAGGTTTCAAAAAAAAAAAGCCCACTGGACGAAAGCGCACGCCACAAAAGCCCACAAAAAAGAGCCCACTTACATATAAGTCCATGCTAATAAAAGCACACACTGATAAATGTGCACATAACCAAAAGGGACTTATGGTTTTTATTACTATAAAATGTATTTATAATTTTAATTATAATAAATGGTGTATTCAGATCTGAATTTTAATGTTTCAAATATTATTTGTTTCATTTATTAGGTTGAAAGCAAACTTTCTGCTCTCTGATTGATTAGAATACTTTTAATGTGAAATTTGAGCTTGATGTTTTTGATAATTTCATTTATATTTGTTCATGAAAATGACTACTCTGATATCGTTTTCTACATTTAACAGTCTCGATGTTTTTTCGTTTTGATGTTGGTTAATACTGAAAATCCGAATTCACACAAATAAGATGTAGAAAATTGTAATAATATTTTTAAAGCTTCATTGGATATCATAGAATAGTCGCATTTAATGTTAATCCAAAATGAATTAATTGATTCTTCCGAATATTTTAAAATTAAATATTGATTATTAGAAAGCAAAATTAAATTCTCCTCTTCATTCAAAGTTAATTCAAATGCAGAAGGTCTTCGGCACCAAAATCGGCTTGTACCACAATTGGCGCCTTATTATCTTTAAAACCTAATTTCGCCAATTTCCATGTGTACCATATACTAGGATTTAACCCATTATAATTTTTACTACTTGTATATACATTTTCAAAACTTGGCGGCACACTTTAAGAATTTGGAGGTACAACAAAAGTGGCACAGTGGTTGAGAATCGTTGATCTAGGCGAAATAATATTTAACATGTAATAACAGCATAAAACCCACAAAAGAAGTGTTACAGTGAAATTCAGTTTCTAAATGCTCTTTAAATTTATTTCACTGAAAGCTTTTGTATATAAATAATTACAGTTTTTAAATAAAATTTATTTTTAATGTGCAAGATTACTTTTCTTACAACGCTGGGCTTATGGTTCTTAAATCCTCTTTTTCGAGTTCAGAAACCTTCGTTATTAATATTATTCGAATAGTTAAATGCGTTTTCAACCATACGAAAATTAAAATGAAAAATATTACTTTTCCGTAAATTTAATATATGTAATAATGTAAATTTTTTAGAAATTGTTCAGTAGTTTTACTTTTAAATAATGGCTTTGCTTCGATATAACAGATATCAAAAAGTTGTTAGAGACACTATCGAATGAGGAACTAGCATATTTTTCCACTCTGCAGATTTACTGCAAAAATAGGGAATTATCCCTTTAAAATGGTTACGAAATATTTAATTCCTTTTGTTTAGCAGTTATTGAAATTTTTAAAATAAGTGAAATTCTAACTAAATCCTTAGATAAAAGTTATTCAAGAACTATACTAAAGAAAATGAAAGGAAAAAATAAAAAGGGATTAACTTCACTTACAAGTGGAATTTCAGATATTGT